GTTAGGTTTCAACACGTTTGCTGACCGACATATTATTTTTGAGGGTATTTTTTTGGAGGAAACCAAAAGGGAAACCCGAAGCCCATTATTGGCGTTCCAATCAGACACACCCAAAAGGGCATGCAATCTTTCATCCTGAAGGCTCAGCCGAGTTGCTGAGAAGTCACTAGGAGTCTATGGGTCGCAGCAAAAAAGGGGGGGTTTACCGTAAACCACGTCTTCCCCTCCTTCGCCCAAAGGGGGAAAACCACACCCCGCGAATGAACCATGGGCAAATGAAGTTACGCTGTGCTGCAGCTTTTTTGTGGGCCCATGTCTCATTTCGGCTCATCGGACCAATGGTGGTCGCACTTTAAAAGCCGCAAAAAAGGGACCACACCCAAATTCACCCAGATTGGCAGGGTATTTGCCAGCTCAGATCCTGAGCTTTTGGACTGCCCCAAAGATCGGGATTTAGGGTGCCTCGAGTACACACCTGATCGTGCCCACTGTGGCTCCATGTTCTTATGTCAGGTTTTAGCATATTTGAGTTCAATTTGAAGAACCAATACTTTTGCAGAATTTTCAAAGAGGTCAGTTTTGGCACAAATTGAACTTGAAGAACGTCGAAGCTCTGCTTGTTTCAACTTCCCTCAGGCCATCCGTCTTTTGGGATCCCCTCCAGTGGCCATGAGCCACAGGAAAAGCTGCCAGGAGAGGCGGTCACTGGGCTGGAGGAAAAGTCCCGCGTTTGGGAGCGTTTTTGGGGTTCCTGTGGCACAGGCCCCATGCCCATGGGGGAAAAAAATGCCCGTCACCCGCGCTTGAAAACATGTTGGAACCCCACGGGCGATCGTGTCTTTCTTTTTTCAGGGTTCGCCCCCCCCCCTCCCCCCCCGTTTTTGGGGTTTAGGGTTTGGAGTTTAGAGGGGAGCCACCGGGAAACCCACCTCTTTGGAGGGTTCCGATGCCGATGTCTGGACCCCATCTTTGTTGGACCAGTGAGAAGGGAACACGGCAACCCACCCCTTTCGTTCCGATTCCTATGAGGCAAAGCCATGGACCAGCCCTTTTCTAGGTCCAGCTAGGTGCAACCTTCTTCTCACCAACTTTCTTGGTTGGGAGGGTTCCCCGTGGCTAAAATAGACAAAAAGAAGAAGGTTGGTACCAACGTATTCTGTCTTCTCTGCTGGAGGACCTGCAAGAGAAAACGCCTCAACCTTTGCAAGGAGCGGTTGCCGTGGCTTAAGCTACTGGTTTGGACGCTCCCGTTTTGGTTTGTTTGGCTCGACTCGAGAGGCCCTGCACTTGTCGTCCACCACCAGCATCAAGGCCAACGCGACGCAGGACATCTCGGGGGCAAAGCTGGGGGAACGGGGCGAGCGCCCTTTTGGGGGGGCATACCCCTTCGATAAGCTCAGTTGTCCAAAGCCGACCTTGTGACAATTTGGTTTTCCCATTTTGGCCCATTTTTAGTCGAGGTGCCAAAAGGTTAACCTTGTAGTTCTGGGTCCTTAGGGCAACTGAGTAAGGGGTGGGGGGGGTTGTTGTTCTGGGGGGAGGGGGGTGTGAACAACAACTGGGGGGGGGGGGGAGTTGTTTGGGGAGGGGGGGGGGGGGTGAAAGAAGCGCCCTTTGGCTGGCGGGGGGGGGGGTTGGGTGAGAGGGATGTGGCTGTGGTTGTCAAAACCCATAGGATCCCATTTATTTTAGAGCCTATTTTAGCGGTTGGATTGGGATGAACAAACTGGGGGTACGAAATTTGGATTTTGACCCATGGCCATGTGTTCATCACCAAGCAGCAGGTTTTGCAGTGAGCCTCCTGGGTCGGCCAGGCCACCAGATCCCGAAGGGTTGGGACATTCATGAAGCCTCAACTCTGGGGGGTGATATAAGTATAAATACAGCAACAGGAAACAGCACGGTGTACGTTACGTTTTAGAGTATAGAATCTTATTAGATAATAATGTCTATATCAAAATGAACATCTACAACTGAGTTTTTCCCAGTGACATCTATCGAGTTTTTCCCGGGTGATCAGGATTAGGGTGTGGCTGATGCCTGGTTTCAACTGGGCCGATGTCGGCAGGCCTTGGTGTCTTGCCGGGCGGCGTTGGGTTGGAGTTGTTCAAGCCCGGAGCGCCTCCGCCGCAGGAGGTGGTCCGGAAGGAGGCCATCGCCGGCTTGAAGGCGGGCAAAAAAAATCGGCCATGGGTCCTAACCTCTGCCTCCAAAAAATGGGGCGGATGAACACCCGTGTACCACCTATTTTCATGTTCACCATGGGGTTTCCTGGGTCTTGACCCACGGCAAGGGTTTGATTTGAGGCCCGAAACTTGCGATCGGTGCGATAGGCAGGGAATGAGTTGGAATGAACCTGGGGATTCCCTTAAAGGAACCCATCATAGAAAAATGGTTTATAGGGCGCATTCCCTCATTGCCTGATGAACACTAGCAAGAAAAGGGGCTCGAGGCGAAAGGTACCCTTTTGGGATGATTTCATGTGTTTTTTTTTGCGGAGAAACTGCAGCCAATGTTGAGGGGAATCATGGTTCTCCTTTTGGCTTCTTCATACCAACCAAGCAGAGTTTTCTTGAACAACCAAAAAACTAAAGAATCAAGCAAACAAATAGACAAACGGAAGGACGGAAGCAACCAAACAAACGAACGATCGAACTACCAGCCAGCCAGCCAGCCAACCAGCCAGCCAGCCAACCAGCCAGCCAGCCAGCCGGCCACCCGACCGACCGACCGACCGACCAACCGACTGACAACAAGCAGGCAAGCAAGCCAGCAAGCCTCCAAGCCAGCAAGCCAGCCAGCCAGCCAGCCAAGCCAGCAAGCCAGCAAACCAGCAAGCCAGCAAGCCAGCAAGCCAGCAAGCCAGCAAGCCAGCAAGCCAGCAAGCCAGCCAGCCAGCCAGCCAGCAAGCCAGCCAGCCAGCCAACAAACAAGCCAGCAAGCCAGCAAGCCAGCAAGCAAGCAAACAAGCAAGCTCCAACTGCTGAAAGCTTAGGTGTCTCTGTTCAAAGCGGCTGCGGGCTAGGGTTCCAGGGGGTTGCTCTTAAGCGAACTACCTGGCCTTATTTAAATGGCGGGCCCCTAGTCCTAATCGGTGATCCCTTATCCGGATACCAACTGTGTTGCTTGCCGGCTTGCTGGCTGGCTTGCTGGCTGGCTTGCTTGCTTGCTTGCTTGCTTGTTTGCTTACTTGCTTGGTTGTTGGGTTGTTGGGTTGTTGGGTTCTTTGCTTGCTTGCACCCGTGCCGCAAAAAGCTCAATGCGTGAAGCCATCTCTAACTTGTGGGAGAATTCACCAATTTTTGCTAACCAGTCACCAAAGGGGCTCCAAATCGCCGTGGGTTGAGTGCCTTTGAGCAGAGTGAAACCCAAATTGAGAGGTTGTTTAAGGGGTAGGCACACCCCCCAGCATGCCACTAGTTCTCAGTACGGGATGTCAAAGGCTTTGAGAATAAACAACCTATGGATCCAAAAGGAAACCAGTTCGAACGTGTGGGTCATTCTGTTCCCTGAGAACCAGCAAAACAGCACCCTTATCTATGTCTATCCATGTCTATCCAGACACGACTCATAGACTGAAGCCCAAACATGGACACCCCGAAAACATGGACACCTATCTAAGATGGTTTGAAGCGCCCTCACACCACTACCCCCAAACTAAGTTGGGGGATATTCCCCTGATATAGTTGTTCAAAAGGTGGCTGTACGCCCCAGGAAAAAAAAGAACCGTGGGGGGTGGTTTGGGGTTGTGGTTTGACCATCTCATCCAGTTGCTCAAGACTACAGGACATATTTTCTCATGTTTTCCGGCGGTTGGAAAACCAAATGGATCTTCGACCCCGAGACGAGTCTCGACAAACTCGCGAGATGGCCAGGCGGTGCCTGGATGGGGCGAGCTCTCCATCTCCGCCTCCATGGGCTTTCAGGCGCCTCGGGGGGCGTGTTGGTTTTTAGGTGAACCGCTCATGGTGGTGTTTCGTTTTTTGGAAAACCACCCCAATGAGACCTTCACAACAAGCCAAGGTCACCCAGAAGTTTGTTTCTTCCAAGCCCTCTTGGTATGACGATTTTGCCTGATGCTTTCCGCGACAATCCTCTTCGTTTGGTGTTTTGCGGTGGTTTTGCCTTCTGGGTTGCCCACAAAACTCTCTCTCAAAATGCAGAAGAACAAGCGCCCAAGGTGTTTGCCCATGCGGATGCGAGTGGCATATGGGGGCAAAATTGGTTTGGGCCCTTGACTGTTCGGTGCCTCCAGGGTCGCAAGCGAACTTGGCGGAAAGTAGCATGGGGTTGGCCCATGTCGAGTTCGGAGGGGTTTTTCTGCTAGGTCCCCCAGTAGTGCCCTTTTACCCTTTTTGGGTTGGGAGGGTTCCCCTACTAAAATAGACTACAGAAAAAAGGGTACCCTTATTCTAACTCTCTACTGGAGGACCTAGTCCGTGATCGCAGTCTGTTTCATCTCACTCACTGAGGAGGTGTCTGCTGCGGTAAAAGTGAAGGGGGGAACTAGAGGATGAAAGCTTCGAGGAGATTTCGGGTACAGGACCATTTCGGCCAACTATCAAAATCGCGGGGACATGACAGTCCACCTCTGGCCACGCCGTCCCGCCCCCCCGCCAAAAAAATAATAATAAAATAAAACAAATCACATGGGACCCAAACCATATTTTAATGAATCCCAATGTTGTTGATGTTGTTTTTGAAGAACTAAAACCCGATGGTTTAAAAAAAAAGGAAAAAACAGAAAACATGCTTGGTGGTGTGCTTTGTTCCATTCGGGTTTTTCAGGCACGCTGTTCAACAATTCGGGGGAACCGCTCATGTGTTCTCCGTGTTTTGTTTTTTTGGAGCATTGACCAAGGCAGAGTTCCTAACATAAAGCATTCAACCTGTGTCTCAAAAAACCCAACATGGTTCGTCTTCTATTACTGTGGATGGATGAAGTCCATTTCGCACCAGCGTTCAGAATTCCTGGAATCATGATTCCCCTGGAATGATGTTTCCTTTTCTTGCTGGTTCCCGGCCATCCCCCAGTTTTTAGCCTTTTTAGTTTTTAGTGGGGATGTCCATTCAATCCACTGAACATTTTCACGGGTTAGCGAGCCCAGCTTTACACTACTAGGTCCCCAGTAGTGCCCTCTTACCCTTTTTTTGGGGAGGGTTCCCCTACTAAAATAGACTACAGAAAAAAAAAGAAGTTGGTACCCTTATTCCAACCTCTCTGCTGGAGGACCTAGGAGATGTGATTTGTAGACTTATCCAAAACCCTTCTGTCAACTTCCGCGATTGGAAACACGGATGCTTTCCCACCCCCTTCTGCCAACTTCTGGAACGGATACACCGAACGGAGCCTGGGCTGCACATAGATGTGCTGCGGACCCTCGCCAGGCTCCCTTGCTGAAGGCCGTGCTGGAGGCACTCGATAGAGGGCATCACGCGGAGTTTCCTTTGTGACGGAAACCGTGTGGCTGTGTCTGTGTCTGTGTCTGTGTCTGTGTCTGTGTCTGTGTGTGTGTGTTTGCTTGCTTGCTTGCTTGTTGGTTTGTTTGTTTGTTTGTTTGTTTTTTTGTTTGTTTGTTTGCTTGTTTGTTTGCTTGCTTGCTTGCTTGCTTGCTTGCTTGCTTGTTTGTTTGTTTGTGTTTTTTTCTCCTGAGAAAGAACTGGGTTTCTTCAAACAAAGTCCATGTTTGTTTCTTTGATGGAAAGCCCTACTTTGTTCGTCATTCAAGGACACCCCTCAGTAATTCCAACCTACCGGGGTTTGCAACAGGGGAGGGGGGAACGAAAGCCAGGGGGGGTCTACGGGGTCTACGGTTGGCATGGAGCTAGGGGTCCGATTCCAGATTCTTGAGTCTGGAGAGTGGCTGGTCTATGAGAATGGGAATGGAAGGAAACCCTAGGACAGAACTTCACTGTCCCCAGCGTTTCTGCTTGTCTTTTGAGTTGTTGAGAGAGTGGAAAATGCTTCAGCTGTTTTTCAACACACGCAGAGGGTTGGAAAGAGAACAAGTTCCCCCTGCCACCAGAATCCCCAACCAGTCGCACAACCTCCGCTGCCACCCGTCAGTTGGCGCCCACTCACAACCACTGGCAGCCCCCTGGCGAGAATGTCTTGGCCAGGTGCTCAGAGTCGATTCTCGAATCGAACCATGGAAAATGGGGGCTGAGGGGGGAGGGAGTGGAGGGGGAGGGTTATTAAGCCCTTCCTCCCCCCCCCTCCCTCCCCCACAGCCGCCATGAAAATCGTGGAGTTTGTTCTTTCACACTGCTTTTCTCATGTTTGTTTCTCCTATTGTCCAAGACTTCTCTCCCGTTTTGGTGTACCCGTCGTTATGTGTTGTCACCTATTTTCCGCGTGTTCCGTGTTGTTTTTCCTGCTTCTCCCTCTTGACTTCTCCGGGGTGGCTCGGAGTCGTCTATGGTTTCTTCCTGTGCTTTGCTCCATTTCTGGCGGCTTTCCCAAGCAGCTTCCCGTGGTCTTATTGTTTGTGTCTTCTTGCTCCCTTGGTTTTTTCTCCGGGCCCAGGTCGCTTTCCCTTTCCGGACGGTGGGGCTCGGATCCGGGGTCAACAGGCGATGGGTGATGACCCCGGAGTTAGGTCATTTGACCCAGGCGCATTTGATCGGACCTGCTCTCTGAACTGGGGATGTCTTGGCGCCCCAAGCAAAATCAAGGGGTGTCTCCATCAAGGTTGAGTATCTTTTGTGTAGAACCAATCCAAAATCGACCAGGGGTCTATTCGGCAAGGTTGAAATATGGGTACAGACGGGTACAGAACCGGTGTTTTGCTTTATCAAATCGGATTCCCCATGAGATTCCCACGAAGGGCTCAGTCTTGTCCAGGTTGCAAGTGTGCCACTGTCGAGCGGGCCCTACAAACGGGCCGTATCCTTTTGGCTTCCGATGAAGCCGACATCGGAAAAGAGGTTCTTTGCTGTTTTGGGACATGTTTGCTTGTGTTGAGTGATGGGCCTGAATCAAGCGTGTGGTGTGTATTTACAGAGGATGGACAGAGGGCTTGTAACGGCAGTTTTGAGTACTGCCAGAGTAAGACATCAGTGTCTCAAGATCTATGAAGTCAAAAAAGGCGCATGGATCGCATGCAGCCCAGAATCAATCTTGATCATTGACCACATGTGGTTTGGTCAAAATATCCGAGTCTACCGGACATCCGGCACTCTTTTTTGCACCGGATCTGCATATGTTGGCTCTACCTTGGAACCAGAGTGTATTCGAAATGTGTTTGGCGGCGTTTCGGGGTCGAGGTGTCTACGTATGCCAGCCTCAATCCCGAACATGAGACAGGTCGGAGGAAAATGATTTTTCAGACGCCCGGAGGTGCTATGTTAGTGCTTTATGGATCTTTGGACTGCAACTGTTTGTTTGAAACAGCGGATTTCCGAATTGGACCACAAAAACGTAAGAAGCAACTATTTTGTTCAGAAAAGAAGAAGAACATCCAGAGGAATCGTTACAGCAACGAGTGGGAAGGCTGCATCTTCCCACTGACTCTCCCATCTAAAAAAATAGATTCCGCCTGTTGAACCGGTGAGGCGATCCTGCTGGGCGGCCTGGTGATGCGCAACATCTACGGCTTGGAGGCCCGTGGGAAGCCCGGGGAAGATTCCCACTGATGGACGGAATGCAGAAATTGCACCTCAGAAATTAATGGGAAACCTATGGTTTGTTGGTATTTACGGGGGGAATCATGAGAAACCTGGGTTTCTTTTGGGTGCTGCGAAATGGATTTCGTCCATCCACAGTAGGTATTTGTGGTGAAGGTTGTTTGCCTCATAACCCGTCTAATGTTGACCCACTAATTTGTGGTTGGGATTGGTTTGGAGGATTTCCCATCCACCCTCCACAAGAACCACCACGTAAACGCCTAACTGTTGGTTGCCAAAACTGCTTTGAAACAACCCGACAAAACCACGAGAGCTTGCTTTGATGGTTCAAAGGTGCTTAACCAGTGGGGTTGGACGCTGAAATCACTTAGTAAGTGGTTAGTACGCCTGGCTATAACCCACAGAACGGAAACTTGTCACCATGGCTGTGGGATATTTAACCAGGCTGACGATCACTTAGTAAGCACAATTATCCTTGTGTAGGAAGCCCTGCGTTTCCCAGATCCAACCCGGAGCTCCAAACTTCGGCGAATAGGTACTAGTTCGACCCCGGATGAAGAAAAAGCCGTCCTTTCTGTTACGCGTGTCAGGCCCCAGAAAGTGGTCTGAATCCCCACTAAAAGGAAACAAGCCCCAATCAAAGTCAACCAGGTTTATGAATCCGGGGGTTCCTCCCATATAGCTGTGTCTCAAAAACAAAAAAAACATGGTGGTTCTCCTTGGTTTCCTCTTGGAACCCCCTCCAAATTGGGTAACTCCCACCCCAAACAATTTTGGACGCCACTTAAAGGGGCAGGGCACTTCGGAAGTGCTTCGCAAGCCTGGCTACAACCCACAGAACGGAGACTTGCAACCATGCCTTGTGTGGGCTATTTCACCAGGCTTAGCAACACACTTAGCAAGTACAGAGCTTAGCAGGACCTTTTCATCCACCGTGCTTAGGAGCCTCAGTGGGTTCTTTCACCAATGATACAATCATCACTTCGTAAGTACAATGCCCGAAATTGGTCGCCCCATGTAAAGGTCCTTTGCATCCACAACGGTTATAGGTATCCTAAGCATAGGGGTCCTTTTTGGTTGGTTTAGTAGAAAAATAGATGGGGTTCGATTCCTGGTTTACCTGGTGGTTTAATCATCCAGGGAAACCCATCTATTTCCCTTAAAAGGACACCTATGATCCAGGGTTCCTTAAAAGATACATTTTGCCCATTGGAAACATGGCTTTTTCAACACCAAGATAAAGGGAAACCACCATTTACAAGTTGCAATGTTCAGGTGTAGAATGCATCCGAATCTCTGTGATCCTGGTTTACGTCTGGTGTTTTTTTCTCATCTACCAGGGAAACACATCGATTTTTGCCCTAGGACACCTATGATCCGTGTGTTATCACCATACCTCCGCAGAAGCTCGCTCCCATCTAAGGGTGGAAGTACATACCCCTTCTTACCCCTTGGCTTCCATGGTTTCCAACCCACTTTATAAGGGGCATATACCCTTTTGGGGAGAGGGTATGAACATCAGCAGGCCTCTCAGGGGTTCATTTGTCCAAAGGGTATGCAAAAGGGGTTTGTTATCACCACTCCTGGCAAAGCAGATGAGACTTTTGGTGGCGAATCCCAGTCAGGAAGTGAGCTGGCGTCATGGTTTGTACCTTGGCACCCTGGATCCCATACGATCCACCGGTCCCTGACGGCTCCGCCGCTCCGTTTGGGTCAGGACGCGCAGCTCTCCGCGGCCCTGGCGGCGGCTGCAGCGCGCCTCCCCGGCCAGGCGAAGCGGCAATAGGGCGGCAGGGGGCGGAGGGGCCTTCCGATGGGCAACAGGACGCCCTGCGAAGGTTTTTGTTGTGGTTGGTTCTTCATTTTTTTTGACAAAATGTTGGTTGTATCTTTGTTTATTAGTTTAGTTGCCGCGGTTGTGTTTTTGTGTTTTTTTGGGCAGGGTAAGGTTCAGGTGCAAGGGAAACCGCGCAGCTGTTTTGGATTATGTTCTTGTTTGTTGTCATGGTATCCATCGTTTTTGGGTGGCCGGGGGTGGGATGCGTGATTGTTCTGTCTTCTCGTTTCCTTTCTTTCTCTTTTTTTTTTTTTGGGGGGGGGGGGGGAAGGTAATGTTGAAAGTTGAGATGGATAGTATGAGAGCTTTTGTGGAAGCAGGCAGCCTCAATGGGGCCGAACAACAAAATTGTCCAATGTCCGTGGTGATTCCCTCACCTATCGGCAAGGAGCCGCATTGACAGACTTGACTCATCGGTCCTTTTGGCCTTTTGGGGGTTCTCTATGTTCCCGTTTCACCGATCTTTATGGGTCGAATCCGTTTGGCCCAGTTCCAATTTTTGCTACCTCGTGGGGCCAAAGGCCTCCAAAACCCACAGAGATCCCGACAACTCCAATGGGTCCGATGATTCTCAGGCTCAACTTGTCAGTGTTCCTTGTGGTTTCCCTTTCAAGCCACCCAAAAAAGGGTACCGCAAAAACGTACACACACACACACACAACCAAACGAACGAACGAACGAACGAGCGAGCAAGCAAGCAAGTAAGCAAGCAAGCAAGCAAGCAAACGCGCGCAAACGCACGCAACCACGCAAAACACGCAAACACCACACGCCACATGGTTCGAGCGACTTGCATCGCCCGAGCTCCCCGCGGGCAATTTCTTCTCGCGCGCGCGCCAGGTGGTGGCGGCTCCAGATGTCCTGGGCTTTGTGAGCACCCCTCCGGAGCTGCGCTCGTGGCGCGCAGGCTGGGCGTGGCCCGGATCGAAGGAAAACGCGAGGCACTGTCACAGACCGCTTTACGGCTTTGCTTCTTGCCAAAGGCAAAGTGAACTTCTGTGGGAGTGGCAGGGGGGAAGTTTTAAGAGATATGCAAACCAAAACTCGATCGGCACGGTTTGTGGGTGAAGGGGAATCATGTCAGAGGCTGGCAAATGCGGGACCCAGTTCCTGAAGGTGAGGAATTCCCCTTTGCAGAGAGGACCCTAAATTCGGGTTCCGTCTTAGAGGGCAACGCGGCGAAACCAGAATTCTGGATTCGGTCGGTCTTTGATCTCACCAAAGAAAAACACGTCAAGCAGTTGTTGCAGGCTAGTAGCAACATGCTCCAAACTAAAACAAAGGAGACAGCATGTAGCTAATGTTCTTTGGCACTGCTGTTTGGGTCTTATCCTTTTTAACCTTTTGACTTTGCAGCCGTACAAAAGGCTTTGGAACCGTTTGAACCTTTTGGCCTCTGCTTTTTGTTGGTTCCCCTTTTCCGAATCCTCTGGTTGGTCGGGTCCCAGTGCTCCGTGCTACAATTTTGTAGGTAACCAGCTGGCTTTATCCCAGTTACAACATGATGGTATCCCCGGCTTACCTGGTACAGTGGTACTGTTGACCCTGGATTCAACCTGGTTGATTAATAGGGGGTGCCCGTACCAATTTTGAGTTCCCCCAAGAATCCACCAGGTTGATCACTCCTGGGTTCCAGGTTGAGCTCCCACCTTTGACGGGGATAAGTGGCTTGTATCCGCGCGCAGGCTTTTTATGCCTTGTGCATCCAGTGGATCCCAGTTACCGGTAGCAGACAAGCGCCTTCGAATGTTCCTTTTGGGGCTTCTGCAGCCTGAAGTTTGTCAGGGATCCTTTTGGTTTCCTCAGAAACAGTGAAAAACCCTTTTGGTTTCCTTTAGTTTCCTTTGGTTTCCTTTTGGTTTCTCAAAAAACGGCGCAATCCAAGCAAGTTGCCTTGGGTTCCCAGCAGGCATGAAGTTCCCAGGCCGCAGGCCGGACCTCATGAGCAACACCCTGGCGCTGCTGGTGCTCCGCGCCGCCGGGGAACCCACGAGGAGTTTGCTCTTTCTCTGCCCAAAGCGAAGTGCCATCCGGGCGAAACGAGTGGAGCTTTGTGGGTGTTCCAGCTTTGCGGCAATTGTTTTTTTTGGTCAAGGTCCCAGAAGTTGAACCGAAGTCAAAGGTTTGAGTTGGCATGCTCTCCTTGCGAAGATCTGTTTGCTCGTTTGGGTTGGCCTAGCGATTCTACTTGTGGCCTCTAGACAAACCCTCGAAGCAAGCTTTCATACCGGGTTCTGCGGAAAAAAAAACTCCCACCCAAATCCATTGTGACAACAGATGCTGACCCCCTTAACCCCAACTTCAAAGTTGGATGTGGCCCGTACTACCAAAGCCTGCGGAAAAAAAAAGGAAAAAAACAAAACATTCGGGCTTCAGACATCACAGCTGCATTCCTTAACAACATTGAAGTTGGGGGCGCGAAGGGGGCGCGAGGGGCAGATAATTGGCTGAGAGTAGATGTTTTTTTTCTTCTTTTCTTTTTTCCTTTTTTTTTTTTTTCGCAGAACCCGGTATGGGGAAGGTTGAATGATTTGCCTTTAAAGAAGCTACGCTCGCGAGAGAGAGAGAGAGAGAGAGAGCGGGAGCGAGAGCCACGTTCGAGCATGATTGGATCCCCTTGCCTTTCTTGGTCTTATTTTGTCCCAGGTGAACATGCTACGATAGATGCATGTTGTTGCACTTGCAAGCTCACTGGGGGGATGAACCAGCTCGTGACCCATGGTGAAGGTTGCCCTCGAGATGTTCAGGTCCTAATTCTTTGGAAGACCAAGCCGTTGCATTCTGGGTGTGTCTGGTTTAGGGGGCGCCTCCAAAATGGTGGTTTTGTTTGTGGTTTCCCTTCAAAACCCTAAAATAGAGACAGACCCTTGTCTCTCTGGTTGCAAGTTGCAAGGATCTAGTGGCTCTAGTGGATCTAGGTTGTGAGGATATCACAAGAATAGACCCAGTGATTTCATTTCCTTGAGTGGGTAGCCAAGGGAACAACTCTTCAGAAACCAAAAGGAGATCGGCAAGGGTTACCTACTACATGGGCGTGTCCTTCTTTGGAGTTGGTACCCTGGTTTAAAGGGAACCCAAAAGTAACACCCTCTCTTTTTTTGTGGGGGGGAGGGGTCCGATTCCTAGACAAAGTGGCGCCACCCACTTTAATAACTGGGATCCACTGGGAGGCGCTTGAATGGACTGCGATGCAAGTCGGCAGGCTGGTTCTACATGCTTCCTGGTGGCTATCATTTTAGGCCAAAAAATCGGTATGTCTCAAAGTGCAACACCTCACGAGTGGTTTGCCTTAGTTTCTAGGAACAAAACATCTCTTCCAGTGGCTTAGCAAAGGACACCGACACCAACCAATTCCCAAGGGCTGTCCCCTTGACCAGGGGACCAATGTTCGACCCTCACGACTGGAGCCCCGCTCATGCGAGCGAAGCCAAGCAGCAGTCCAGAACTGGTTTCAGCTGGGTTCAAGATTCTGAGAAAGCTTGAGGAACATTTCCAGGATACATCTCTGACTAACCCCTTGCTGTCGGTGATACTGCGGTGGACGAAATCCTGTACCACTTTGAAACCAATGGAGACCATTGTTCATTGGTATTTACAGGGGAATCATCATTCCAGGGTTTCTTAGGTGGTGCGAATGGATTTCGTCCATCCACAGTAGTTGCTTTACTTCCTGAAGCTGAGCCGGTTTGAGAGCAAGCATAAACTTACCCGTCGCATCCATCGATTTGTCGAACAGCCTAGGTCCCCCAGCTAGGCGCCCTTTCTCACCCCTTTTTTGGTTGGGAGGGTTCCCCTACTAAAATAGAACAAATAAAGAGGTACCAACTTATTACCCCCTACTAAAATAGACAGAAAAAGACATCGGGTACCCTTATTCTAACCTCTCAAAACTGGAGAGCCTAGCAGCTCACCTGAACCCATCCCTCCGTGTCAGGCAGAGTCCTTGGGCGGCGTGCCAGCCGAGTGGGCCGCAACCTGAGCAACGCCTGCTCTGGAGGTACACCGCTGGCCTGGGTTTGGCGAAATTCCGAAGCCTTCCTGACAGCTTTGGATCGGAAGGACGAAAAATCCCCCAAAAAAGGCCCAAAAGAAGAGGGCTTCCACGTTTGGGAAGCCAAATCGGTATGTGGTCAAGCTAGGGGGGATCTCAAACACGGGCACCATGAAAACAAGCACACACGCGCACACACATGGTTGCCTTCCATTTGCTGAAAGGAATAATTTTCCCCTGTTGGTTTAAAGTTGGAATCAATTTATCACTACTGGAAATATGTCTTTATTTTTCCAGCTGGTCAGGCGCCGTTGGCAGAGAACGGGCTCCTGGATGCGGCTGGTGTGGGGTCCTCTTGTTTTGGGGTTTCCTCCGTTGGGCACAAACCCATAATATGTGGCGCGGTAGAAACACCACGAGATGGTCATGAACCCGTTGGTCAGGATTTTAGACAACCGATGTCAGGATTCCTAATCGAGGAGCCACAACCATAGCCTACATACTGTGGATGGACAATATTTTACACTAGTTGGAATGGATGAATCCCTATAACTACCGGTTGATCAACCACCAATCCCAACCGTTGCAGGATTTTGTTCTTTGAACAATGGGGAGTGTTGACCACGGCTCATATGGGTGTGTCTTTCTTTGAGGGGACCCCCCAAAATGTGTCGCGTTTTCTTGGTGGTTTCGCTTTAAAACCACCGAACATGGGTGTACCCCCCACCAAAAGACTCCGAAGCATCGCCCAGGAGGCTTTGGACAGAAAGCTCATAGCCGAGGCCGCCTTCAAGGCGATGACAGACGTCGATTTGATGCGGGAAGAAGAACTGGCAAGTGATCTTCGTCCAAAAATCGGGCGAGCCCCCAAAACGGCCAAAACCATGGACGGAAATGGAAAGCCACGGAAAACCATGGACGGAAATGGAAAGAGCCTTTGGTAAATGGAAAAGCCATGGACGAACATTTTCCCGGGTCCAACTCCTGGTAGTTTACTTTTGACCCATACCCTGTTGAGAAACCTGGGATCTCTCTACTGAAAGTGGCGATCCGGTACGTCGGGTGAGTGGTGATCGTAAGCCTGGCGAGACAACCCACAAAAGCCATGGTTTTATAAGTCTCCGTTCTGTGGGTTGTAACCAGGCTTACCAATTCCTTCCCCTTTAAGTGCATATGTTACATTTTAAGGTTCACTAAATATGGATCACAGAATTCGCATGCTACCTTTGGGTTGGGCAAATGCTGAGAAAGGCGGTCTCGAAGCTGCATGCAGCGATGCCGCAGACGGCTGACTGTTGACACCACCTGAATTCGCAGCCAAGAAAAGATCCTAGTTCCCTGTTTGCAAAAGGCCCAGGAATCAGACACGTTCGTCTGCACTGGCGAGCTTTCAGGGTCAAATGAGCCGCGATGAAAGACACATAACTGAAGAGTCCTCTAATTCATTGCCAGACGCTGCTTTTGGCCCTTTGGGGTCTCCTTCATATTCTTTCACAACCAGCAAAACGTTACGCAGGGAGTTTAAGTCCGGCCCAGAATTCAAGTTGGTGGCCAGCCTGAGGGTATGTTACGAGCTTGAAAAGACTTTCTGACCAGTACTCCATTCCTTGAAAAGACTCTCCCCCCATTCCCCCCCCCCCCGCCCGGATGTAGTGGGGTGTGGTCGTTTTGACTTGCAGATCCCTGCTTAACTTCGGAACTTCGTGCCAGGCCATTGAGCACATGGAGGAGTCTTGGCAGAGGTGGCGGGGGGGGGGCACGGGGGCAGTTTAAACCACCAAACGGCTGCGAGGAACTCCGTTTGGTTGCCCCCTTTTAAAGGGGCATCCCCGAGTCTTTTTCCCTTTAAATGCGGGTGGGGTGGGGGGTGGCGGGGGTTGGGCTGAATCAAGTTCCGCAGAGGCGAAGAATTCGTTTCAGCTTTACCCTTCAGGTTTAGATGGATCCGAAACTCGGGGGCCTTTTTCGCGGCGCCTCTCTGTTTTGCGATCCCCAAGTGTTTGGTGTCCATGTTAATCTGGAAGAAAGTTTTGCGAGGACAAGCCTGAACCTATAGCCATTCGCTTGCCAACAGTCAGGGCTTTGAGACCCAAAGCCGGCATTGTTCGTCGGACGAGTTGTGGCACTCAATTTGCGCGCTCGGTTGGCACTCTTTTGTGGCACGGAGAAAAAATGCCGGCGGGATGCATCCACAACACGGCCTCAAATGCAACTCCTCGGGGATGCAATGCCTTTGGGGGCGCTATCTCTGGATTTTTTTGCGGCGACCATTTCTGGTGTCATTCTTCTGGACGCCACTAACTTTGGGGTCTCTCGAAACAAGACGTAGACATGCGGCAACTTGGCTAAATTTGACCCAATTCGGCCGGAGGTGTTGCTCGGGCGACATGTCTTTGGCCAGCCACGGCCTCAAACGAGCTGCGAAAGGCAGTGGGGATCCACGCAGCAAATGGGGGGCGCGAGCGTCTTTCTTGGAGGGCACCCTTTTGAGTCAGGGTTGCTCTTTCCGCGGGCGCAGAGTGCCATCTGATCCCATCGCTCGTTCGGAACGTCGGAGGGCTGTGACCACAGTTTCCGAAGCATGCATGCAGAGGCACGCGGGGCAATGCTGAAATGGCCTCTCTTGAATGCGGCGGGTGGACCATGGCATCATCATGGACCGCGAGATCAAGACGCTTTGGATCGAGATGAACCAGCGGGCGTTGGAGTACATTTGGTTGAACATCTTGGCGAGCCTCGCCGCTGACCAATCTGCTTGACAGCACGTGGGCCGGGCATCACACTGTCTTGCACCAATGGTATTGCCTTCACCCACTGCACCCCACCCGTCGATGTTTGATTTGTGCGTATTCTATAGTTTTGTCAGACAGAAGCCCTGACATACAATTTGTGGCATTCTGTTGATGTCAGATTTTTACTGGGCATGTTATTCTGAACACCCAATATGAACACTTTGTCAGTTCTCAATTTGCCACCAGAAACCAGGGACTTTCCCCTTTCCCCATGTTTAGTAGGGTACCATCAAGGGTCTGAATCCGTTCAACAGGGTTGTGGGGTTTTGCAAATCCTGCACCAGCCGAGATGGAACCCATTGGGATAAATCGCCTATCCACTGGGTTCGCAGGATTTCGTCCACCCACCGTGGTGGTTCCCAGCCATCCCCTCAGCTTTTTAGCCTTTAGTGCTTAGTGGGGATTTCCATTGCACCCACTAACAGTTCAAGTTTTAGCAGGGGATCCGAAAACGGACAGCCCAGCACTATGAGCCATAACAAACCATTGTTTGTTGGTATTTACAGGGGAAGCATCACTCCAAGGTTTTTTAGGTGGTGCAGGATTTCGTCCACCCGCTATGCACAGCAAAGTTCGCTACTCCGAGGCTTCATCGGCCACTGGCAGCTGGCGATCTTCTTCTTGGCTCATCCGGAGGCCCAGTCCAGGCATGGGTCGAAGCTCGAGCGCCCTGGGGTTGTTGGCAAGGTGGCTGTGGGTCAAAACCGTTATGGTATCCCATTTTGGGGTAGGTGCCCCTCCATTTGAGAACCCATTTGGTGGGGATTGGGATGTTCACTGGGGGTATGGGGGGTTGATCCATGGCCATGTGGGTGTCAGAAATTCTAGGGGTACCTTCCCCATTCCAAATCTTTTCAGGAAACTCTCAAAACCCAGGTGAAACAGATCCGGTTATTGAAAAGAACGATGGTTCAGAATGGAATTGGAATCAACCCCTACCGAAATGCGGGTGTCGGTGTTGAGTATTGAGGACACGGAAACCACAAGGAGGTCCGAAGCCATGGGTTTTTGGTCCTATTTTGACACGACCCCTGTAACAATGATCCTTCCCCAAACATAGCGCCAGAAGGTCTGGAAGATGAGTTTTGCACCTAGAAGATCAGATGTGGTTTTGGAAGAATTTTTGTTGTCAGGTGCCATGTTTGTGTCATCATGGTCCAAAAATGGGGCCATATTTTTTTTTGGGGGGGACAACCCCCAGCTCAAAGAACGGAGTTCCTCCATAAATGATTCCTTCCAGAAAGGAGATTGGTGTTTCTCAAGCTGGCGGTCCCCTTTTGGCCGGTCTTAGAAGGAAACCAACGGGAAACCAAGCTCCCAGACTTTTCTGTGAATCTATGAATTAGCAGCCCTGCAACGTATCTTCGTCTCTCTTCCCATGCGAGAAGAACGCGCCTCTGAAACTCTGCCGAACTCGAGGCGTGTCAAAAGCAGCCTCCGAATGCGTTGCTCCAAGGATGAAGTCACAAGCGAAAACTTTGGCTTCCCTTCCCCAATAGACGGCAACTTGGATGGGGTATGGAAGCGACAACTCCACCACCCCAGTGTCGGGTCCTTAGGTCTTCAGCAGAGCTGATTGCACCGATCGAGCTCGCCAGGCCGGGGCTGCAGCCCATGTGGGAAGCGGGGAAGCCCAAGCGGCGGCGCTCGCGCTCGCCGTGTCAACGAAGCGCGCGGGGTCAAAAGACTTGGGAGACGAAAAGGGAAGCCCCTCAAAAAGTTTGTAAAAAGTGGGAAGTCCAAAACTTGAGACAAACTTTGGACAAAAGTCGTTTGCTGCGGAGTTGTTTTTTTCCCCCCGAAGTTTGTCCACCGATTTGGGCCATGAACAAAATCCAGCCGTGTGGGATGAAGAGACTTACTTCACCATTTGTTCAAGAGGCTTCCAGATGTGGGTGCGGTTGATTTTCCGACTTTCACAATAAACCAAGTACACCATTTTGTTTTTGCAACTTGTGTCAAACTTGCAATGGTTGGTAATCAACCGTATGTCTCAAACATTAGGTTTTCTAGCCTTTTTGCGCTGTGAGCAACGGACAAGTTGCAGCTGGTCTGTTCTTGATTCGGAACGACATTCGGGAGATTGCCAAGTTTCCCTTGTTGGCCAACAAAGCGGTGCTACGGAAATGAGCTACTAGTGCAGCCGTGTCCACGGCCTGACTCTCGGTTCTTTTCCCAAATGTACCCCAATGGCTGGTGGGTGATGGAACTCTTGTGTGTTTTCCCCAACAGCTGAAAGCTTTGGGGTCTCAGCCCAGATAGGCTCCGGGGTGGTCCGGGGCGCCCTGAGGTAAGGTTCCACCAGGGTTCCACCAGGGTTCCACTAGGGTTCCACCAGGGTTCCACCAGGGTTCCATCAGGGTTCCACTAGGGTTCCACCCGGGGTGGTGCAAGCACTGGAAAGAGCACCGCATGCTGTTGGGGATATCACCTGAGTCTATTTTACGGGGGGGCAAGCACGATATTGGATTCCCAACCCATTGGGAGCCGTGACATTATGAAGGGGTTCCCCACCGATTTCTCCGGTGATGAATTGCACTTCACCTCAAATGAATTTGCACCGAAACATTGTGAGTTTAGGGGTAAAACGAGCCCTGAAGACGCCTTAAACTTATGAAGCCTGTGGGTGTCAAGGTCTGGTGGAACACAGATGGATTGCCACTGGTCTCATTTTGGTCCCAATCCTATGATTTCGACACTTTTTGTTGGGCCCATGAAAGTGACGGCCTCATTCCCCTCGTGTGGTTGAGGAGTGGTTTTCCACCCCCCAAACTAACGCTGAGAAACCTTCAAATGCAACAAAGTTTGTTCTTTTGGCTATTCGGATTGGCCGAGCCTCCGTTTTGAACACCTCAAAAGGGCGGTAGCTTCCAAGAAATTCGGGCCTACACCACGGCTTCGCAGGAGACGCTTCAGGAAGCCATCAAGGGGCCCAAAGGCCGCCGCTGGTGTGTCCAAACGGGGGGTGTTGTTTTGGAGGTGGTTTGCCAGGTTGGGCCACCTGGGGTGCGAGTGGATTATACCCAGGGCCCCACGCTTAAACTGGTGGTTTTCTCTTGGAGTTCTTTTTCAACCAAGGTGAAAAGAGTACCCACAAAAACAAACACACCCACGCACCCACGCACCCACGCACCCAGCCACCCACCCACGAAGGCACACTCGCACCCACACAGACACAGACACAGACACATGCGCACACACACACACACACTCACACGCAAACCCTTCTTGTATTTGTTCGTGATTTGCTGATGGAACATTGGAGTGGCCTTGGCCAACTCTTTGCTGTTCCATGGACATCGAGCCCAGTTGTAAAAAGGGCACTCTCCTTGGGGCGACGGTGGATTCCAAGGTTCAAACGACCCTGAAGCATGTCAACTTATTGTTGCGTTGTGTGTCTTTCTCTTGTTCTCAAGCAATCAACAGATAGAGCCTGAACAATTAGAATGGAACTTTGCGGGGTACTTTTCGCTGTCATGATCATGCGAGCAACATCTTAGCCTTCTTCATCCCCTACTACCCCCCAAAAAAAAGCTCATCTACCGCACATGTTTTTTTTTGTTTTCTCTCGTTTCTTTGAGTGCCTGCCTGCGCAGAGGAATTGGTTTTCGAACATGTGGCGCGGCTTGATCCCCTCAGCCGTGCGCTTCGGAGGCTCCGAGCTGGACATCCTCACCCGCCTGGCGCGGAGCCATCGAACAACAAAAAAAGCTGTTGGGCAGTGGTGCCTTTAAGGGGGGTCCGAAAATACGGGCCGGGGGGGGGGGTGAGGCGTCTTGTCTTGAGGGTGCCATTTCTTGGGGCTCATATAAAAAACGCAGTGGAGGCCGCCTTTTTTTGGGGGGGCTCTGAACAAGTTTGAGTGTTCTTAATGGGATTCGGACCCCCTTTCTGGCTTTAGGGAAAAGAAAAGGAAGCTGTCACCATTTTGGAGGAGGACCACTATTTGGAGAAACACCCATGCAGGACTTTTCTTCGAAAACCCAAAAGGAAGCCGACTTCCATCTTTGGGGGTCCATTGAGACACATAGAAACATCCAACAGAACTCGGGACTCCGGACCCAACTGGAAGGATCGTTTGATGCCTCGCGCTTTGTCGGCCACTATTGATATGTTGTGCTGGTGTGCTCGAAGAGTTCAGTGGGTAATGCAACGGACCACGAGGTGGTGAGGCAGGTTTGCAACTGCAGGATCCCTTTTGCACAGGCAACGGGGCAATCCGTGTGCTACATCAGACTCGGACCATGAATGGCAGCAGGATTGATTGCAAATGTGGAGCGAAGCCACACAAAACACCAACCGCCCCCAACCCCAGCCTAGACCTGAGAGATGTCTGATCCTGACCATAATGTCTGATGACCAACAACAGCCGCCGCAGCAGCAGCAGCAGCAATAGAACAAGGAGCAACAGCAGCAGCAACAGCAAGAACAAGAACAACAAGAACAAGAAGAAGAACAACAATAACGACCACAACCACAGTTATAAATATAACAACAAGCACAACTATAATCATTGCCACAACCACAACCGCAACACCAACAAGGGGGGTGATTGAACACTCGCAAGTGTAAGTCCAACGGTTCTGTTTCTACCAACTCTCAGGAGGGCAGGGTTGGGCCAACCCCATGTCAAGACATGCTCAACGTAGCAGCCTTCTTTTGGGTTGACCAGGGTCCGGCTGGTTGGGTGAAACCCCCCATTCTTGGTTGAAACCACTTATTTATTTATTTATTTATTTATTTATTTATTTATTTATTTATTTATTTATTTATTTATTTATGTGTTTGTTTAATTCATTAATTTATGTATTTATGTATTTATTTCTGGGGGGTAAATTTACAGTGGTGTGGGAAACCGCCGGTTGTTGTTTTTGGGGGGGGGCAGCGCTGCCCCGGTTTCCACGGGCCAGGCCTCCGGGCTCCTGGGGCCGAAGCTGGCTGTGAACCTGAAAGCGGACCGCCGCGCCATGGCGCGGGGGGAATCGGCCGGGGCGAGGGCGAGGGCGAGGGGGGGGGGGGCTTCGGTGGGGTGGGCGGGGCTTCGGGGGTCGGGGGAGGTGAGGAGGGGGGAGGTGAGGAGGTGAGGAGTGGAGCGGGAAGGTGGCGAGGGGAGTGGAGGTGAGGAGGGGAGGAGGTGGGGATCTGGGTCGGGCTTGGGAGTCTTGGTTGGGCACCCCCAAAAAGGAGAAACTGGGAGAGGGTGCGGGGTATCCATTTCGATTCAGGTGTTGAGACTCTCAGTTTTTCCAGGGGCTTAGCCGAGGTGTTGATCGAGGCTTTGAACGGGGTGGGGCCAGCCTCCCCGTTTGGGGTGGGGCCAGCCTCCCCGTTTGGAGCCATTGGAAGGGTCAGCGCAGAACCGGAGCAAAGCCCCACCGGATCCGTTTGGGAGACCAACCATTTCTGGGCATAAGTCGACATCAACAATTGACTCCGCCTGGTGGGTTCCCCGAAAAACTTGCTGCTAGGGACTGGGATTGGCTTAAAGGAAACCATAGAGGGGATGGGCGTCATTTCAACTCTTTCCCTGCCGATCGAATCAGCAGCTCAGCAAGAAAAGATGGAAATCATTGCTTCCTGCGCTTGAGCCTGCCCGTTTCAAAAAATGGCTCGCTCACCCGTGCCTCAAACGTGGCAACTCGCCAGGCCACCGCCAACGCGCTGCTCCAGAGAATACGCGCGGGGGCGCCAGGAAAGATTGGTTGCTCCGGGCCTATGAATACAACCAAAGGGTAGAAGCTTAGGTGTGCCTGGATCGCCAGTTGTGATCGCTTTTTTCCATCCACTTTACCCCAAAAACCAGCAACAGTGACTGAAGAAAACAGCAACTCGGCTATCCAGGTGGTTCCTTTTTTTGTTTTGGGGAACCAAAAGGAGAACCGCCCTCTTTTCTTGCGTCCCCTGAAGAACGCTCCCAATTTTGGCTTGGCTTGCGCCGCAAAAGGTTGTGCCAGGGCCGCGGGAGCAACCCTGCACAGTAGTCGTAGGGCTTCCAACTTCCATTGCCATACAGGTATGGGTCAAAATGAAGCCACGAACACACCGCAGTTTTCAGTCCTTGGTTCCATGGACCAGGGCAAGCCATTTCGGGTGTACCTTTTTTTGACCCACACCCTGGTTGGGCCTTATTGGGACGGGCGGCGTATCCGGTTTTGGGCCCCCGGTTTTGGGACCCCGTTGAACGGAGCCGGGCAACGAGCCGTGAGTGTTGGGCGGGTTGATGATCCGAATTCGGCAGCACATCGGGTTTTTTTAGCAACTTGGGAGTCCAGAGAAAGAAAAAAACGTCAGCGAAGAGACGCAGTTTAGGGATCCCCCGCTCTTCTCAACCATCGTTCTTTCCCAAAATTGAGTTGGTTTCTGGAAAGTATCAGCTCCCTGGGTTCAGAATGTAGGAACACAACCAACCCCCACCCCCACCAAGAGATTCTTCCTAGCCCACAAGTTGGGAATGAAGCCCGGTTGGGACAAACCACCCATCCCCAAACAAACCGCGAAGCTTGGCGTGTGTGTTTTTTTGCGGCCCCTCCGGAGTTCGGGGTTCATGCTGCTGTCCCCAACCATATCTCAGTTGTTCCAAGCCGGCCTTTTGACCTTCTGGTCTTCCAATTTTGGTCCATATTCAGCCATGGCCCCAAGAGGCGATCACCTTTTAGCCCCAGGTCCTTTGGGGCCACGGAGAACTCTCCAAAAAGGGCGCTGCCTCAGGTCCAGGGCCCGACGGCATACTTCGCGCGGGACGCCGGCAGCCGGGGCCTCGATGTCAGTGGCGACCGGTGGCGATGGAGACCGCGGGGCTTTGAGGGGGGAAATCCGGTGACCCGGCGTGGGGTTGGAACCATATGAGTGGTTGGATCGAACGTTGGAAACCATATCCTTTGTTCAAAGAGTGGTTTCAACCAGATGTTTCTGAGCAGGGGTTGAAACCATGGCCCCATGGCTGTGCCAGGGGGGTTGGATCGCCCAACCCCTGATAAGCGCCCAACGGTAGAAAATGGATTGGCGTCCTTCGATTTTTCCCTTAACCAGCATGGCAAAATGATGCTCTTGCACCAGAGTCTTCGGCGCGCCATTCGCGGCAAGGTGGCAACGTGATAAAGTATTTTAGGCCCATCATGCAGCATGGGCAAATGGCGATCTCACGAGGCTTACGGTAATTCCTATGTGGCGCGTGTCTTTTTCTCAGGGTACCATTTTGGGGGGCGGTTTGAAAAGGGCACCAAAACGACAACCACCCTTTGCCCCCCAAACACACGCTACACGCCTATACTTCAGCCAGATGTGATGTATGCAGCGACCCCTTCCCCCAATTTCCGGACCATTTGGGTCGCATGCCCCAAGGCATGCATGCTGCCAGTGCGTGGACGCAAGCTGCGGCACTGTGGCTGTGGTCTGCATTCGGGAAATACGCCGCAGCCTCAGCATTTCGCGGCCCTCGACGCAACTGGCCCCGGTTCACACTTGCCTCGCGCGGTTTTGGAAAGGGGCAACCAAAGCCATTGTTCGTTCTTAAGAAAACCATGCTGGATTGCTTGGATTCGAGTTTCAGTTTACATACACTTGTGAGGATGGTTGCAAGGAACGACACATTCTGTCCGTGGCGCGGAAAGGCAATGCAAGCGGACGGTCAGGTTTTCGGAATGGCTCCGATGAAGGGGAGCGGAATGAGCAGACGAACATTTTTTTCTGTGAGCTTGGTTGTTGGGTTTTTGTCCCTGTAAATGGAAATCTGGACTAGACCCAGTGGATTAATCTGAACCCATACCTATTTTGGCTCCGAATTTTAACTGGGAACTGTCTGACAAGTGGTTGGTGGACATAAATCCCAAATGATGTCCACCCTTTGGGTCCCGAAGGAAGTAGTTGTTGTTTTGTTTTATTGTATTTATTTGTTTATTTATTTGTTTATTTGTTGATTTATTTATTTATTTAATATATAGTTTTTTTTAGGGGGGGGGGGGTGCATGTTGGTCACTCCTTTTGGACGGTGATAGGGGGGGGTTCCTCCCTGCCGCTCGGCTCGGGGACTTCTCCCGCGGAAGGCGGAGAACCCCTTGGCGCCGCTGGTGGCGTCAAGGCTCCTGGAGGAGACGCGGGGCGGGCAGAAACGTGAGCCGAAGGGGGGGGGGGGGCCATGGACACTTCGAGTGTATTTTGCGGCCAAGAACCCCAAAAAAGAGCAAACCCCGGAAGAAGGAGGTTGCAAAATAGACCCTAAATGTCCATCATGAGGGGGGTGGGGGGGGGCGGCGTTTTCCAGGTAACCGGCGTGAAGAGGAATGGGCTCCGATTGGTTTCCCTTGGATGGTTTTAAACTTTTGAGGTGGAGTTTGAAGGGTCAGGGATCCGTGAAATTGCTTTTTGAGTGAGGAAAATCGGGCCGGTATCCCGCCAAGGTTTCGAAGCAATCTGCTTGATCGAAGGGGTTCGGAGCGAACCTTTTTGGGGTCTCCGATTTTACCGACAGAAACGCTCAAATTTCCCTACAGGGGGCGTATGACAATTAGTGAGTTTGAACTTCTTTAAGGCCAATCAACTCAGGCAGTGAGGCGAGATGTCCCTGTAAGTTTGACCATAGACTACTGGTTTTTGTGTTGGACCAAATATCATGTTCAATGCTCCATACTGTATGCGGAACATGGTACTAGTTCTCATGAAGGGGCCCGAAAGCCATGGTTGTCTCACGTGTCTCAAGCCAGCATGACCTGCCAAGCTCGAGAAACGGGATGTTTTGATCCCACGTGTCTTTGTCAGGCTGCGCTGAACGCCCCTTGAAACAGGTCGCTTAGGGGAAAAGTGGGACACGGGAGAGCCATCGGTGTCCTTTTTGGTTGTTTTGGTAGAAACATAGATGCCGTCGGTGTTCCGAGAGTTCCTTTAAAACCAACTTTTATTAGACCTAAAAGAGTTTTTCCTTAGAGGTTTTCCTTAGAATAGAAGAGGTTTTCCTTATTTACCTTTGAATAGAGGTTTTCCTTAGAGAGTTCCTTTAAAACCACCCCGCAAAGGGTATACCCAACTTTTATTGGCACTCCTTTCAATGTCCTTTCAACCAGTGACCAAGTTTGGATCCCGAATTGAAAGGGGGGCACAAAACAATCACCATGGTAGAAAATTGGTGTGGTTTCCTGTGGCTTCCCATTTACACCCATACTGTGGATCGGCAATGTCCGTTTCACACCAGGGATGGATGAAGCCCCATGAATTCTGGTTGATAAACCACCAATCCCAACTGCTTCGAACTGGACTTTGTCCATCCACAGGCCAAGTATCCCTATGGGTGTGTCTTATTAGGATTCGGACTTCCCCAAAAAATGGCAAGGGGGTCCTTTTGGTTTCATATGCGTGTGTGTGTGTGTGTGTGGGTGTATGTCTTTTGTATGGGATTCGGACCCCCTCCGCCCCCCAAAAAAGCAAAGAAAAATGATAAAAGAAAACAATGGCTCTTTGTACGGGATTCGGCCACCCCCACCCCCCCCCCCCCCCCACCCCAAAAAAAAACAAAAAAAACATGCCAATTATCCCTATGGGTGCGTGTTTTTAAGGGGCTTCGGCCACCCCCCCAAAACACAACGGAAAAAACAAAACAATGGCCGGAATGGATCGGTCCGCCGGTCAGGAGCGGTGTCCCTGGCAGCAACACCTGCCTGCGAGGCGGGCTTTTGGCGCGTTGCACGCACGCACGGGAGATGGGCGGCTCGTCTTCTTTTTTTTTAAAGAGCGGGGTACCCGATGTGAAAAAAAAGTCAAAAAAAAACGTCTTTAAAGGGACACCAAGAGATCAGTACTAAAAACGATTTAAATTACCCCACAAACCTTGTGTAATCGTTTAGACCCTTGTATGAACGGGAAAGGTTTGGGGGTGCGAAGCTTTTGACATACAGGAAGCTTAGCGTGTCCACATGCAGCTTGGCGCAAAGAAGAATTAGCAATGCAGGTGACAGAAGATACAACGGGTCAGGAGCCGTCTTTTTGGTAGGAACCATCCTGGGTCCCTTGAAAATTTAGACAATCCTTGTAACAGTTGTGGGGGAACCACCATTGCCTGCATTTGGGCAGTTTGACCATGCCTCACCTGGGCTTTAAAATTTTGGGTAGGGAAGGTAGTTTCCCATTTGGTTTGTCTTACTCGACACGATGAGTGTGGCAACCCGCACAGAGCGCCCCCAGTTCCAGCCACTATTTCCGCTTAGCTCAAGGCCGGCATATGGCTTTTTGAACACAGCCGAAACCCACATGGACATTGCAAACGACTTCCTTTGCTTTGGAGAAAAAACAACAAAACAAACAAAGCATAGGTGTCCTTGTTGCTTTGTTTTTTTTGTGAGTGGGCGATTCCTGGTGGCTCTGGCGGATCGTTCCAGGTTCAGATCGCCGGTTTCCAGGTTGGTACTCCCATCAAGGGAAGCCCGTCCATTTGACCAAGTGGAACTGGGTAGCAGTGGTTCTTCCATCCTTTAGGTTCCCTTCCTTGTGCAGACACACTGACTTGAAATTGTTTTTTGGGGCCTCCTTTCCCCCCTCCCAAGAAAAATCGCTGCGTCGAGACGCGGAAACTGCTCTCGCAAAGCCAAAGGCTTTCAATCAGTTCCCCGGGAGCTCGGGGAATCGATGGTGAGGGACATCATCATGGCGTCGCTGGGCCTCGGCGCCTTTGATGAAGCCACAGGCGCTGCCGCCCTCGTTTTGGGAAAATGGGGTCACGCCAGTGAGAACGGATGAAAAATGTGTTGGTTAGTTTTATTTACGTGTTGCTTTCTTTTTTTACTTTGTTATTTATATTTGATTGTTTGTTCCTATTTTTTTGAAGGAACAAAAGACGCAACACCTTTGAGGAGAACCCCCCCCCCCCGTTTCAATCCGCGGGATCGACTTTCTCGGGGTGTGGGTGGCTTTGAGCCGTGGACCAACCTCGGGATTCCGCCGATTGATTCCCAGGTGCATGGCCCCCATGGCTTCGGTTTTGGTGTCCCGTTTTGGTGTCCTATGAAATCAGCCCCAACCAAAAAGAGGACCCTCAGAAACTTGGTGGCTCGCAGCCATCCGGTTCCTTGGCTTTGTAGGTTTTTAGTTGGTTTGGTGGTAGTGTCCATGGTCACCCACAGAAAGTTAAAAACTTTTAGCAGGGGATCTGAGGGCAGCCCAGAAAACACACGCCCAGGCGTTTTAAGCACACGAATGTAGTGGTTACATCGGAGGGCCCTGAGTCCACCCCTCGCCTGGCAAAGCTGGGCAAATCGCGGCTGCAACTTTGGATCGGAAGGACGAAAAAAACCGAAAAGGCCAAAAGAAGAGGTGGCCTCATAGGGAACCCAGTTCTTCAGTGGCTAGGTCCCCCAGAATTGTGCAACCTTTCTCACCCGTTTTCTGGTGGAAGGTTCCCCTACTAAAATGGACTATAGCCCTTATTCTAACCTCTCAACTGGAGGAGCTAGGTGGGCAATGCATGTTCACATGCAAAAAAGGGCACCCTCAAAAGTGATGGACATGATTCCGCATGTGTGATGTCCAACACCTGTTGATATGGCAAAGGTCTCCAGACTTGTGATAGTCAACCTTTGCCAACTGCCAACAAGACTCCTTTCACAAAAGAGACCCTCCCAAAAGCTCCACGGTGACTTGGTACCCTTTTTGGGAGCGCCGCAGGCTCCGCGGCCGGGCGCATGCCTCTGCGCCTCAAGTCCGGGCCGTCGGGGAAGCTGCTGCTGCAGGCCGGCCGCTCCGTCGGAGCGGATCTCGGAGCGAGCGAGCGAGCGAAGATGGCCCGAGAAAAACGGGACGTCAAGTTGCCCGATGTTCAGAGCTCCGAGTTCCGACCAAAGATGACCCGGGAAAAAAGGATGGGAACCTTCCAAGCCTCCAGTTTGAACACGCCAGAGCTCCGAGATCTCAGGGTTGATCATTTTTTTCCTGGCCCCAAGGTCGCCGAAGCTTCCAAGGCCCTCCCATTTTGCAAGCAGCCCCTCGACCAAAGTCTCGGCGCCTTCCCACGAGCGGTCCAGCGCTCGTCCGCCGAGGGGCGGAGACGCTCGGAGCTGCTTGGAAAAACTCGGCGGTGAAGGTCCCGAAGGAAGAAACTGAGTGCAGGGTTGTGGGATCACTCGGGGTTGATTCAACCACTTCTGTGATACTTTTGGGAATCTCCCCCTTTATGTGGGGTGTTCGTCTTTGGGGTTAGGCCCTTTTTGTAACGTATCACAGAAGGGGTCAATTTCCACAGCCCTGGATTGCAGAATTAGAGTATAGCAAGTACCCTGCCTTCAACTCACATGGAACCTGACGTTCGGGGGATCCTGGTTTAGACCAGTTTCCTTTTATGGAACCTGACGTTCGGGGGTCCGGTTTTTTTAAAGGAAAATGGTCCAAACCAGGACCCCCCTGTCAGGTTCCATGTGAATTGGTGAGAGGGTAGCGCTCGCCTCGCCTTCGGTTCACTCTCATGCGTCCTTGCCGTTGAAGTTGAGGCCGACAAATCTTCAGTTGCAGAAGCAGGTGGCTGACTGTCCAGCTCCATCTTAGCTCCGGTGGTTCACTGCTCCACCAGTTCAAAGGCAAGAGACATCTGTGGCCTGGCTGCCATGATGCCACGGTGCGACGCCCCAACTCTCTGAGACATCCGACATCGCGTTCAACGTAAAAGACCTGGGGTCTGGGCTGAAGCATCATAAAAGTGATCGACCGCTTCGCCACAGCAAGGCATGAACATGTGTGCAGAACGCTGGGGTGGTTCCCACTTCTGTGATACCCAGAACCGTCATCTAGGTCCCCCAGTAGTGCCCTTTTACCCTTCTTTGGGAGAGGGTTACTAAAATAGACTGCGGAAGAAAAAAATTGGGTACCCTTGTTCTAAGCCCTCTACTGGAGGACCTAGGTCATCTTTCCGTGAATCAACTGGTCATTGGGAAGGCCTGAAAAGCCCATGGGGTGCACCCTCCCAACAGCGCCAGAAGGTCCCAGGAAAATTGTGTTCCCGCTGCAGTGAGGTTCCATGGACGCGGCAAATATCACATAATGTCAAATTTCCCCCAAGGGAGACCGAAAGGGAATGCCTGGGTCAGATTCCATGTTAGTAGGTGGGAGGGTAAACAGCACGATTCGTTCATGTGGAGGTTGACCTATCTACTTTGGAACATTTGTGTACCCCTCATTAAACAGGTGACGTGACTCGTGTGAAGGTGCGTCCTTGAATCATTTGCACACCGCCAGAATGAACAGGGTTTCTCAAAAGAGCCTTTTGGGCCACATTGAAAATTAGATGTCCATCTGATTGGCGGATCTGGTGAGGATTTTTGGGATCGGAACCCTGAAGACACCCAGCGCCTGAGCAAATCAACATTCGCGGCCTACCGAAGGTCTGCAACCGGAAACCCATGCTGAATGTCCCTATTCTCGTCCATGGCAGGTCTGTGGGGTTGCCGAGGTCTGCCCATTTTCGCATGATCTACTTCAGATTCACCTCCTTGGTGGGTTCTATTGTTCTGGGTCCCGAAGGGTTTCTAAACCAACTCACCTGAAAGAGGTTTCAATCAAATCACCGAGCTTGTTTAGGTTGAGTTTTCCTTGGTAGATGCAAACCGAAGCTCCCGCTTGTTTGACCCCGCATTTTGTTTGCTTCGGTAATTGGCCGTTGGTGCGTTTGTTTTTACAGCACCAAATGTCAGGTTGTTTTATACAGAGGGAAACCCAAAGGAATTCAGGGGGCCCAACCCCAGTTTGGGGTTGGCGGATGTTTGTCCCCTTTGAACCGCGAAAGAAATCCACTTCCTATACCTTAAAGCCCAGGGCACAAGAACGGAATTCCAGGCCCCAAAAGATGTGAGGCAAATGGTCCAAGGGCCCAGAAAAACAACTCGAGAAAGCCACCAGTGGCCGGATGGTGTTTTTTTTTTCCAGACCCCTTGGCTCTCGGTGTAAACCAGGGTTCCCATCTTTCCCCTTTTGGTCTAAACATTGCGTTTTTGGCGCAAGGCGAGTCTTTTTTCTTGGGGTGTTGTTGCCAGAAATGGGCGCGGAGGCAACCCTGGAAGGGCAGCCGGCTTCAACAGCGTGGCCATGGAGCGAGTGGGGCGGCTCAGAGAAACGTGGGCTGAGGGGTGGCTGTTGGGTTGGGCTGGTTGGGCTGGTTGGGCTGTTAACCTCATGGGCTGTTGGGCTGCAGGCTGCTGGGCTGTTTGGGGGTTGGGAAGGTGGGGAGCTGGGGAGGTGGGGAGGGGAGAGGTTTGGGGGAGGTGGGGAGGTTGGGCATGGCCCCACTATACACTTGCTAATGCAATGAGCCATATATTCCTAATCTCCCTGGGGGGCGGTTTGGGGGCAGGAGGAACTTTGTAGAGCAGAGGCGAATGAGCACTCTGCTCAACGGCTTCATTGGTGCAGCGCTGTCCCAAGGTTTGACAATCCAGAGCGACTGACGTGCATTTTGCATATGTGAGGTTCAAGTACTGTTTTGGGGGCTGACCGATGATGATCCGAGTACTGCTTGTCGGGAATCTCTTCTCACAATCATGATTTGAGGCGAATTTAAGGCATAAGAACGAGCAGCAACGGGCCGCAAAGAGCCTTCCAGCTTTTTGAGGTTCGTTCTACATTCCCCAATGCAGACTAAGATTCCCGCACGTGTTGGTTGTAAGCTTTTTCCTCTCGTGCTGTTTGATTCTTGGGGGCAGAATCCTATAGCCACCTCTTGGGAGAGCGGGGGAGGGTGGGGGGGGGCGTTTTCTCTCGAATTCAGATTGCCACAAGCTTGGGATTTTGTTTTTGGTCACGTCACCTTCACGGGTGAGCTCGATCTCGGTTGACTCTCAGGTGAGCTCGTTCTACTTGCCCAGAATCCGTCGTTCACTGGGATCTGCGCTTCTGCACCCTTTCCTGAGCAGGATATGGGAGCGTTGAATCATTCCCATGTTGGTTCCTGAGAACAAGCAAGTTTGGTGGTTGCTTTCTCCGTTGCAAGGCTGTCAGACGTACGGCCTGGGCCTTGGCTCTTGGACAGTGCTCGTCGGATGAATACTGTCAATTTGTTGGGGGGTTGTCCCTGAGAATCCGGATCACTTTGGTGGGTGACAGCCCTAAGTAGCACCCCTAGTAGCAAGATGGGCTTACTAGGGGTTCTACTCCCTGGTGTTGATTGGGGTGATAGTGGTGGCTGTATGCATTTGTATATTGTGTCGGCCTTGATTAGAAGGAAAACCATGTGATGCACGATGTTGGAACCAGTGAGAAACATGGGCCGGGAGTATATTGCCCAGGTTGGGGCCGAAAGCCAGTGGCTTCCAATGACCACGCCTACCTGGAGCAAACTGAAGTGAGATGTGGAGCACTAGGATATTCTGAGTTTCAACCCAGTGCTTCCGGCGACCATTGGTACGGGCGTTCACCAGCATGTGAAACCTGGAGGTAAGAGACCAACTGGTTTGTTGGGGAGTGTCCGGGTGAGCTTCTGGCTTTGGATTTCTGGAGGGGAGAAACCGGTTTCTCCCTTTGCGGCCAACTCTCACCATTCACCACCAATTCGGGGTCGGTCTCGAATCTCAAGTTTGCTTCGACCCACAGAAGGACTCACTCGTGGACCATCGACCTTTGAACTTCCTGTCGGCGTCTTCATCATAGTCAAGGCCTAAACAGTCAAAAAAGTGCTTGTTCGGCTAGTCCACTCAGGTCAGCGATTCTGGGCCTTGAGTAGATGGCGGGGACTTGTGGAATCATACATGAGCAACGGGCAACCCTGGGAATTGGTCGATCTCCACACCCCCACACCACCACCCCGCACTCCACCACCACCACCACCACCACCACCACCACCACCCGCACACCCCCACCCCCCACACCCCACACCCCACCCACGCCCCACCCCCCACCCCCGACCCCCCACCCCCACCCCCACCCCCCACCCCCCACCCCCCCCCCACCCCCCACCCCCAACCCCCCACCCCACACCCCCCCACCCCCCCACCCCCCACACCCGACCACCCCCGACCCTGCCACCCCGCGCAACGCCGCGAAGGCAGGGCATGGACCTGGAGTTCCTCGCCGGGCCAGGCAGCGGCATGGCCGTGGTGAGCCGACGCCTCAGCTCCTCCCAATCCGAGCCGTTTCGGGAAGCCAGCCGCATGGGCAGGGCGGCCTTTCTGGGGAAGCCTCGTTTGGTTGGTTGCCGTTGTTGAAACCACCTCCTTTGTTGGTTCCTTAGGAACGGGCACGTGGTGTCTTCTTCCTTTTTTTTACGGGAAGCCAAATGGGTGTGGTGCTCAAAGAAAAGAGGGTCACCCCCAAAATGGGTTGCCTTGGGAAATGGAAGCAAACGCTCAAACTCCTGCCGCCTGACTGGTGGTGTGATTTTTATCCATACCCAAATGGCGAGCTTTTGTGTTGAGGGGGGGTATGGGCCACGCACAAAGTGGGAAACTGTCTGTCTAAGTCATTCAGTGGATCCCATGATCGCAGCTGCAAGCCCACGGATCGTTACCTAGTGGATCTAAACATGGTTGTTGTTGGGAAGCATTTTACATTTTTGCTTATGGTGGTGGGAAATTCCCACGTAACTGCTAAAATTTAAATGTTTGCTCCCCTTCAATGTCAACCAAGTAAAAGTTGGACCCCAATCCCACTTTTTCGTCCACAGATCGTTGCAAGCCTATCCAGTGCCCTTTGGGTTAAAGGCTGAAGTTCTCTTGGTTACCTCAGGGAAATGGAATTACTGACTAGGTCTTGTAGTAGTGCCCTGTTACCCTTTTTGGGGGGAGGGTTCCCCTACTAGACTACAAAAAAAGGGTGCCCTTATTCTAACCGGACCTAGCTGAGTTTTTCCACTTGCTCAAGAGTTGCGTGTGTCTTTGTTCGGGGGCTCCGCCAAAGTGGCTTCGTGATGTTTTTCTAGGACGCTACCGAACTCAAGCGGTTGGCGGACATGAATCCTCACCGAATTGTGATGTCCCTCAAGGGGCCACTATGAACAATCACACCCCTGTTTATTGTCTCTCTTGGTTTTAAAAGGAATCGATCACCGGAAATATGTTTTGATGTTTTTTCACGGGATGGAAGTTGTCCCTTCAAGTGGCTCTGTCTTTGGGAACTGGCTCCCATGTTCGGCAAAGGTTTCTTTGGGCTTCCCTACCAACCCCACAAGGGCTCAGAAGACCGACTGAAACCCTACTCAACTTGCCAGCTCGGGAATCCTTTGAGGTTTTGGGAATGAACATCATAAGGGAACCCCCAGTGGCATGGTTGAGTTCGATTCGGGAGAGGAAGGAACACTGCTTTCAGATGCAACAAGTTGGCCGCCTCTGCTTGATTGTAACCAGGAGGTCCAAACCGCTCCCAGTCACCAACTAGAAGAAGGAAGCTGATGTTTCTCACCAAACAAGGGCGGCCGAGAAGGAAAGCTGGGGGTGGGGGGGGCTGGATTGGACAAATTTCACAAGGCCAAAGGGGCCGGGGGCCCAAAAGGGTCGCTGGAAAAAGCCCAGGTCTCCCTTTGAAAACGTGCCCTACGAATTTAAAAATGGAAATGCCGCGTTCTTTCGGCCTGGCGTGACTCTGGCAAGAGGTACCGTTTCTTGACTATTTGTTTGGGGCAGGGTGCCACTGAAGAAGCAGAGTCAACGGGTACAAAAGGGGCGCACCCAAACCCATACTGAATCCAAAAGGCTTTTTGCCTGATCAGACAATATGCCTATTCCGACCCCTGTTTGGATGTAGGGGTCGGCGCCGGGTGAGTACCGTCGACCCCAGATTCAACAGCCCGCCCCCAGCTTGGTGAACTGTCGGGTTCCTCCCCTGAGAGGTTCCCCAGGTCGGCATTGTTAGGGTCATGAGCCCCACCCCTGTTAGGAGGTGCAGCTTCCTTACCAGAGGCCAAGTTCTTTTCCGGTGAGGGTGATAGCAACGGTCAATGTTTACTGATCTACCAAGGGCATGGAGCACACAAACCCAAAATAGCATGAGGAAATGGGATGTCACAGTTTCCCTCCTGTGTGCTCAAATAGGGATTCATGCATTTGGCGTCCCTCGGTTTTATTTGTACTATCATAATTGTTAAAAGACACCCCACAGAAACCAAACGGAAAACCACATAGTCAGGGTGCGATGTTTTCCTGTTGCAGAAAACCACGCCACACCCGGGAAATCGGGTTGTGAACCCTCTTTTTGGGGGGCCTTTCTGCAAAACCTACGTTTTCGGGTAGGTGAAGGTAAAGGGATGGTCGGTGTTGCCAGCAATCCCGGTGGCAAAAAGCCCCTTTGATGCGTTGTGAGTTTGGGTACACCCCCTTTTGCACTAAATAGCTCTGCTTCTTCAGTGGCATCCCCCCAAACAAATCATCAAGAAAGAGTGCCCTCTTGCCAGAGTCTACACCCCTTGTGTAATGCTGACCCAGGATTAATACACCCGTCCCATTATTGGGGGGGTTGTTCCCTCCAAAAGTGGTCTGAATCCAACCACTAAAAGGAATTGGACACCCCCCAATCAAAATCAACCGGTCTACTTAGATCCGGGGTAAACATTACCTCCAATTGGTGGTTTGGAGCCCGGTGGTTCGGTGGTTTGGGTTCAAATCCCCAAACCACCAATCCAGCCACCAACAAAGAAAGCCTCGAACCCCCCCCCCCAGACCCCCCCCCCCCTTTGTTCATCGCAGGCTATGGCATGGACATGGTACCCATGAAGCCCTTCCGAGAGCCTCAGTTCCGAGGCGTGGAGTTGGCAGTTGGGAGTTGTCCCTCGGCCGGGAAAAAGCGTTTGTGGAAGGGCTACTGTTGTTCAACCCAACCGACCAACCAACCAACCAACCAGCCAGCCAGACAACCAGCCTCCCAACCAGCCAGGCAGCCAACCAACCAACCAACCAGCCAATCAACCAACCAACCAACCAGCCAGCCAGCCAACCACTTTGATAGCTGGTGTTTGAAGGGAATCAGCAACTGGTGGTTCAGTTTGGTTTCCTTTGGTTTGCCTGAAGCGAGCGAACCTTGAGTGTGGTTCTGTGGCTCTCCCAAGGAAAACCAACGGACCCCTTGCAGAATGAAAAGGTTCAGTTCAGGGCGATTCTCACACCGCGGTTGCTGGAAATACGTTGCTAAAAATGCGAGCAACCATGTGCAACTGACGTACTCTGGACATAGTTGCACAATCCAGACATGTAGACCGATGTTAGAGGCATGCTAGACATCTACTGCAATTTAAATCATCTACTGCAATTTAATGCCGGCTTGGCATGTATGAAAGACTGCCAAACATGACCTGGCATGTGCTAAGGAATGCTAGAACTTGCTTGGCACATGAACCAAGCACCCAGCGGAGGGCAAATAACCCTGACAAGGTCTTTTCTTGAAGTCCGGTTGCTTCACATAATATCCCCGTATTTTGCGGCATGCCTGTCAAGCTCAAGCCAAAAAGAAGACTATTCAGTAGAAACGCACAATAGCTGTCTTTTCAGGAAGGCACCATGTGACCAAGACAAAGCACTGCTGCACACAAGGTGCTCTTGAGCACCCCCTTGACTGGGAGTACCTCAATTCGCATTCGAGCTGGAGCACGCCTAGTTATTTGTTCGGCGTATATTTTGAAGAGAGGTCCTCCCACCCAAGAAACGCCAGCCAAAATGGCAAAGGACCACAGTTGAGCACCCAAGACTGATTCCTATTGGCCAGTTTAGTAGGTTGGTATCAACCGTCAATCGGCGAAACGGGCTCCTGAACAGAGCTGCCAGACTTGTCTTTTGGGAAATGCAACAACAGATCTCAACCGTTCCCCCCCCCCCCCGAATCGCTCAGGTAGTGTTGACCCCAAATTCATCAACCCCAGTTTCTTAATCGGGGGTGTCCCTGGGTTTAGTGGGGAATCATCACTTTTGGACCCATATTAATCAGTTGAGGATAAATGGAAAACCACCACTAGCCTCCAATAGAGTCACCAGACCAGAATGAGGAAGGAGTTTGTCTCGGATTGTTTTCCACACACGCCTCCCTCCCAAAGAACAAGGGAAGTACAACAAATGCCCATGAACTGTGCGATGGGCGGGGATTTATTTATTAGGGAGGCAGAAGGAAACACGTATCACTGTTTGCCTGGTGATTTCAGCCAACCAGAGAGGCACGGTTGCGTGTTCGCATGTTTAACGGAGGCCCATGAGCATGGCTATGCCCGCAAGGACCCCTTGCCAGTCATTTGACGCTCTCTCTCTCTCTCTCTCACTAGGTTCCCCAGAAGTGCCCTTTTGCCCTTTTTGGGGGAGGGTTCCCCTACTGAGTGTATCGACTACAGAAAAAAATCGGGTACCCGTATTCTAAGCTCTCTACTGGAGGACCTAGTCTATCTATCTCTCTCTCTCTCTCTCTCTTTGTCTCGCTCTCTCTACGCCTAGGATGAATTGCACTCCCAAACCACTAGTGCCAGGAAGATTCTTCATGGGATCTACAGCCACGAGCCTCGATACAGGGTCAAAACGTGCCCCGGGGAAATCATGCTGGACTGTTGGGAGTTTCAGAGCGATGCAACTTGAGTTGCGAAAGGCATCCTGGTCCAGAAGATCATCCAGCGATCACAGCGGCCACCTCAGCCATGTCGCTTCAATCTCATCGCGAGCGCCCAAAACCGATTCCTGTTGGACGTGCTAGGCGGTTCCTGATAGATATGTCATAGGGCCTGTAAAAACTTTGATAAACGCGTTGGTAGAACCAAGAATCGATGGGTTTCGAGCGCGGCTCGATCTCGGATCACTGTGCGGGTCAGATGAAGGAGTGGAGAAATGAGCCATTTGTGGTCATGTGTCTTTGCCAAGTCAACAAGACACTCTGGATTTGGAATCATTTACTGTAGTCGGGGGATGACATGGGTCACATTCATCAAGTTACCATGAATGGAGACGGGCTTCGGTTTTGCTTTGGTTTCCCTTTAAAAGCATCAGAAAGGGGGAACCAACTCAAGAAAAAGACGGGCCAACCATTCAGTTGAGGGCTGCTGGATGTCATCCCTGTTCAAAATATGTGGGTTTGGGGCTAGCTCATTACGAGAATTTCTCACTTGGCCAATGCGCTCAGGAATCGAGGTTTGAGGTACCACAAGACTTAGGGGGCAATGTTCGATTAATTCAGCCCCTCGTATGAGATGCAACCTTTGTGAGATGGGTCGATTTGGACGTCGTTGTGGGAAGGCACTTGGTGCCTTGAAAAAGGCCGGAGGTCCAACATGGTGAATGATCGTTGCATTCCATTCCAGCGAGGATGTCACTCCAACAACGAATAAAAAGCCGCCTCTGCATGCGGGGGGAAAAAAAAAACAAAAAAAAAAAACATGTTGGACCCGTTTCCACGGACAGTTCGGGGCTACAAAGGGGGACCCAAAATGTGACATGGGGCTCAGAGACCTCCTGCATGCCTGCCTCACTGAGTCGCGGACGGTGCAGCGGCCAACCTCTGCACGTCGCATTCCCCGGTGACATCCTGTGCGCGCGGGGCTTGGGAATTCATGCTGAGTGACGTGTTTGTTTTTTGTTTTTGTTGTTTTTTTCTCTAAGCCTTTTCTAGGTCTTCCAGTAGTGCCCTTTCTCACCTTTTTTTTGGTTGGGAGGGTTCCCCTACTAAAATAGACTACAGAAGGAAAACAAAAATCCAGTACCCTTGTTCTAAGCTCGCTACTGGAGGACCTAGTTTTGATGTTGACCGCAGCCCCCCCAATTTCCCCTTTCGAACGCCCAGAGGGGCGATCGCTGCCAATGGAACCTGCTGGTAAATTGATCGACCTGTGGAGGAAATCCCGTGACCCCTGATGCAAGCCATGGTCAAAGCAAGGGGTTGAATCGCCCAACCCACCTATTTTTTCATTGGGGGGGGGGATGTTCGAACCGAATCCTCTTTGCGTCCTGAGGTCACCATTGAAATCACATCTCCGGATGACCTGGAGGATGTCGAGGCATCTGGAATTGTGGAGTTCCACTGGAAGAAAAAGTTTTTGGGCAACCCGCAAAAAGCCACGGAATCCATTGGAGCCAACAGGCCCATGGGACGTGGCTCCCAATGGGTCCCCATGAATCTTTGCTTTTTTTTTGTGATTTGGGCTGGGAGCCGCATGGCGACGACCGGGTGACTAGGGCTCGGAATTGGAAGGCAGGGGTACTCCTGACCCAGACAGGGGGTACCGGGAAAATCGGAAACTAGGTACTCAAGATCGCCTCAAATTGTGGCTCCGCCAGAAAACTTACATTTGCTTAAGAATATGTTTTATTTTCCCCTGTTGGTTTTCAAGGGAATCGATCACTACTGGAAATAGGTTTTCTTCCAGGGGGCTTAAGCAAATGGCAGAAACCGCGCCATGACATGGGCCATCTTGTGGCTCCGCTTGCTTGCTGTTTCTCCTCAGACTGTCGGGGAGGAATGCAAACTAGTATTGAGGCTGCAGGCGCTTTGCCTGCCTTTCGTTGGAAGGTGACGCCCGGCTCAAACTCTGAAAGGATACCCTCACGTGGAACCTAGGAACCAGCGGGCCTTTCTTCCCTGAACAATGGTCTTCTACCCCCAAGTCAGGTCGCTGCATGCTTGGTAGGGTGCCACTTGGTCCAAAGGTCACAGCACCATGAAACCAGCATCCAAATCCTCACTTCCTTCCATTTGGTGGAGAAGATGGTTGTTGTTCCCCCTGTTGGTTAAATGGATTTTTTTGGTCCAGGGGGCTTAAGCAGCTGGAGGTTCTCTCCATACGTTGAGACGGAACCTGACTGGGGAGAGCGAAAAGCTCCCGGCCCCGGAGCTGAGAAAAAAAAACGCCCGCGCCAGAGCGGCGTTCGGGAAAGACTTCTCGGTTCGGCTGCGGCAGCACTGGTAACAGGGTAGCAGGGGAATCATGAAAGGAGAATACATGGTTGTTGTTGGCAAGCATTTTACATGTTTGCTTATTGTGGTTTTGTGGTTGAAATCCAACCACTTAACTGCTAAAATTTAAAATGTTGCTCCCCTTCCAACGTCAACCAAGAATAAGGAGGCTGGCGTGTGCTTATTGCTCGTGTCATGCATGTTCATTACGCGGTACGCGGTATGGTGACTATTTAGTATTCAAACTGTATATAGTAGTATGACCAATACTGTTGTATTGGCACTAGTCAGTTTCATTACCATCATGCACAAACTCAGCGTGGTGTGGGTGTCATTGCTGAATATCCATTATAACTATCATTAATATCATTGTCGTTGCCGCTTTCATCATGAATCATGACCATTGTCACCATTGTTAGTACGAGATTCACTGGGACTGGGACCGCAGTTGAGAGGGACAGTCGGAACCACAGTTAGGACCTGATTGTGAATATCCATTCTTTTACGATTACCTTCACCGTTATTATCAGTACTATAGTTACTGGTTTTAGTATGACATTGATTTCATGATTTGGTGAACCAGTTGTTTGTTTTTGACCAATGCACTCAAGTGAGGGAATATTGTTTGCCCAACTAAGTGGTCTTTAATTTTGCTCAGCTGGATTGATTTGACTCCTGGATCAATTTTGCTCAGCTCAAGAAAATCAAGGTTCATGGTTGCCAAACAAATGGTCAAGCAAAAATCAACTAGGTCCCCCAGTGGTGCCCTTTTACCCTTGTGTGGGGGAAGGTTCCCCCACTAAAATAGACTACCGAGAAAGAAAGAAAAATAAGGTAGCCCTATTCTAAGCTCTCTACTGGTTTGGACCTAGTCAAGGTCTGGGTCCTTGGCTCCTTTTCAGTTTTTGGCCTCGGCCGTTTCGTTCGCCCTTGGTGCCAGGTCCTGGACATGGTGCCGGCGGGGCTCGAGCCGCTGGATGAGTCCCTGGCGCAGGAGTCCTCAGGACGGACAGACGAAGCACCGCTGCGCGCCCCAAATCGAAGCGGAGAGAAAAATCCGAGGAATGGGTCGGTCGGTCGGTCGTCCTTTTTGCATGGTTTGGGTTTTTGTGTATGGACATTAACAGGTGTTGAGTTGTTTTTGTTTTATGAACATGAACAGGAACCATTACCTTTTGGAGGGAGAGGTCTGTTTTTGAGGCTGCGCTTTTTTTTTGTGGCTGTTATATGGAAGTCAGCGGGAAACTTTTGAAACAACGCCTTCTATTTGTCAAATGGGCTGCCCGTTCACTTGGAGTGCTTGTGGCACTTTAAGGTCCATACATGGTTCCAACAAATTAGTCCAGAAAGGACTACCTGCAACCTGGGGTTGTTAGCACCAGGCAGCTTGAAAAGTTTTTTGCTTCCGCCCCCCCCCCCCCCCATTTTGGGGAAGCCCCTTGTCCACTTCGGTTGTTGGAAAGAGGGTGCTCGTGCGGGACAGGCAACGGCGTTGCTTCAAGTCATCGCCAGTTTTACCTCGCGGTGCCTCAGCTGGCGGCCAATTGAGAGCTCGTTCCCACAAGTCCCTCAATGGACCGCATTGGAACCTGCGTAACCCTAGCTCTTTAGTTTTGAGCCACACCCACTTCTGTGATTCGTCGAATTTATTTGCGAGGACCCGCTTTGGACTGGCTCTTCCGGATGCCTGGGGCCCTGGGCATCGGAAAATCGTGTGGGGCCAAAGGCAAATGGGTTGGACATGTTGGGACCACAGGAATACACACGAAGTTGACACGCTGAAAGATGAGGGCTCTCCTCGCGAGCCGAACCCAAAGCCAGGTGACGCGGTGGTTTGCAGTGGGCTTAAACTTCTGGTCATTGAGGCTGGGGAACCAGAACCTCAAAGCAACCAAAAACACAAAGAGGGAAGCTGAGCAAGGGTGTTCCTTGTTCCCCCCCCCCCCGCCCCCCCCGAAAAAGGAGGAGATGGACGCACATGGAAGATCCGATCCGGGCTGAGCCAAGCTGAGTCTGCACGGGAGGTACGAGACCCGGGTAGCGCGAGTAATGCACCGAGTGTCGGCACACGCAGTGGCGCATGCGCTGACGCAACTCCACGGCCCCGCCTTGGCACTGAACGACTCATTCCTGGCGCGTATGGTTTTCCAGTCGCAATGCTTTGTTCAATTCTCTTCGTGAGGGGCGTTCAAAAGGCAGTCTTTGTGCAGCGCCAAAAGATTGACTGAGAGGGCTTTCCAAGCAAAGAGTTAAGCCTTTGTAACCATGCTTGATGCTACAGGCCCAAAGGAAAAAATGAGAAGATCTTCCTCGCATGGTGGCTAGCCTGGGATTTGCAAAAGGCGGTCAAAAGCCAGCCGTTTCCTTTGTGTCTTTGGTGGTTTCCTAGAGAGGAACAGGGTGCGTCTTGTTTTAGGGGACCGCCCCAAAACAAACAAAGAATGGGTGGTTGTCTTTTAGGTGTCCAGTGTCCCCCCCCCCCCCACACCAAAAAAGCAGTTGTCGTTTAGGGGTTAGCAAGTCCCAAAGAAAAAGCACAAATGCCCCCCCCCCGCCCCCCACAAAAAGAAAACGCGGCCACCAACTCCCAAAAAAAACGGATGAAAAAGAGAGCGGTGGTCTTTTTTCGGGGGGATACCAACTCCAAAAAAAAGAAAGAAGAAAAGTCTTTTAGGGGAGATACCAACTCCAAGAAAAAAGAGGGAAGCGCCGAGCCCAAAATTCGGCCGCGCCGAGCAAAAGCGGCAGGTGGCGCCGGGAGGTGCGACGGGATTCGGTGAGCTGGCCCGGGGCCGAGTTCCGCGAGCTCGCGTGCGAGCGGATGTGTTGGGGTTTTCTCCAAAAAAGAACCACTCGCGCTCATGAGTTCTTTCGAGAAAAGCAAAAACATCATGTTTCCCCAGAACGAATGAGTTGTCCCCCATTTGTTTGCTGGTTTTTGGGGTTTAGAACTACTGAGTTGTCCCCTTGGTTTTTGCTTTTTCGAGGGGGGGTTCGTGTTTTCCACGAGCCAGGCAAGAATGTGCCGGGGTCCTAATTCCAGCCAAGTATAGGGATTAAGAGTTGCGATTGGCCAAGCCTCCATGAACAGCCTAAAAGCTGCAGAGAAAGAAGAGCCACCAAATTACCCGCCCGTGGCACATGTTTTTTGTCTCATAACCTCATAACCTTCGAAGCACTGGCCAGATTCGCAACTGGAAGTCGCAAAGGTCGTGCAGCCCCGCAAGCTTGCAAGTTGAATCATCTAGCCGTGTTGCTCTTGAGGTTTGCAGTTTGGGGGCGGTGGAAACTATCTTAAAGGGCATTCCAACCAGAACAATAGGTGTCCAAACATCACGCATGTTTTTTTTGGGGTTGGGGGGGGGGGAGGGGAATCTCAATGTGCACGGATATGTGCTGCTTTGAGTGTGTCACGTATTGTATTTCAACACTGTGCCAAAAAGATCCGCATGACTGCCTGCGTGTATGTGTGGCGTCTGAAAACAGGGTTGCTCGAGTCTTTAAGCACGATCAAAGCACAAAAGCAGGCATCAAACTCCTGGCAGCCAAATAAAATCGGAAGCCAGGCCATGTTAGGAGCACAACAGCACGTTGGGAGCCCTTTTCAGGTTCTCAAGCACGAAGGATAGGAAATCGTCTCAGCCACAACCAGGTCCCCCAGTAGTGCCCTTTTACCCTTTTTTGGGGGAGGGTTCCCCTACGAAAATCGACTGCAGAAAAAAAAAAAAAAAAAAAAAAAACGGGTACCCTTATTCTAAGCTCTCCACTGGAGGACCTAGACAAAATGGTGCCGCCGCGTTGATTAGTTTCATGGCCGGTCGACGCGGGGACCTCCGCTAGGCGCGCCAGCTATCTTTGGGCCAGGGGCTCGGAAAAGAAGTCCGTCCTGCCTGTTTGGAAACCTGCTGGGGCCTAGCGGGGGGGAGATGCGAAGCTAGGGGGGGGGGAAGCTAGGGGGGGGGTAGAGCTAGCGGGTGTGTGTGTGTGTGTGCGCGTGTTGAGCACCTTTTTTATCAATAAAGCCTCAATTGGTGGCAATTTGGGGGATTTCAACCTCCAGCTGTGAGTAAATCGGAAACCACCCCTAACCTCCAGACCAAAAAGGTGAACCACACGGAGTAGACCCCATAGCCCGGTTGTAAGCGGAAGGGGCGTGTCGCAAATCGGGGGATCCCTAAAATACAAGTGCCTGGATCGCCAGTTGGCTGTTTTTTTGTTCCATGCACTTTACCCAAAAAAAAACAGCAACAGTGACTGAAAAAAGCAGCAACTTGGCTATCTAGGTGGTGTCATTTAGCTTTCCCTTAACACAACCCCAAGGACGTTGGGTATCCAAAAATTCAGAGACCCAACTCCACCTTCCCTCCCTTGGTTTATCTTTACAGATCCCAGGTTCACCTATGGTTGTGGGCCCTGAATGGAATCCTGTGGCCTTCGCGGATGGGAGGGAGGTTCGGGGCGGGGGTTCTACCTAAGCTTCGAGTTTGACTTCGGATTTATGTATTCCCCTGGTCGATGAATAGATGTAGTGTTTGCCCCTGATCCTGAAGGCCGGCAGTTAGGGTCTGAGTCTCACTTCCTGAGTTCCTGGATTGGTAGATTATGTTAGTTGTAAAGAACAAGTGTGGGCTTCTTCTGGCCAATCCACTCAAGTGAGTTCAGCTTCCCTCAAAGTGGTGGCTTTCCTCTACCCAAAAGGACCCAAAGGGGAACCGACCAGACCTGTGGTAGACCTCTTGCCAACCCCCAAAACGGCACGAGCCTTCGCCTTCGCCCGCGCGTTCCCGAGGGCGGGACGCACAGCCTCTCGTTCAACTGCATGGCAAATGCGCCGAGCTTGGGATTCCAGCGAGGGGAGGGGCACCATGAAGGGGCTTTCGATTTGTTGGGTGTCCATTGTCTTCGGGAACGGACACTTCAGAAAAATCCACCAGGTGAATGAATTCGGAGTCGATAATGCCTTACCTCCAAACGCTTCGAGAGCCCCGCCTAAGAAGGTTCAACGCACCTTGTCCACGCGTCCATTTCCAATCGCTCCGCATCGGACTTATCTGCAGGATTGGACGCCTGGTTCCACGGGTCGCACGTCGGAGTTCCAACGGAGAGCCCCAGGCGCCGGGGATCTACTCCCTGCCGGCGGCAAAGGCCCACTCCACGCGGCACCCGGAGGCGCGGATCCGGAGCTGAGTCCCGTGTGTTTTCGGCCGAGGCGCATGGGGACGGGGAGGGGGAGGGAGGTGGGACCGACTGTGTGTTTTCATGGGCGCCCTTGACGCACCTCCACAGAAATGTCCCGACCCCAGGTTCGAAACACATTTATCTCGGTGGTTCCCAGCCATCCGCTTGGTTTTTAGTTTTTTAGGGTGGCAGTTTCCCACTACACCGTTTAAAAGTTAGACTTTTAGCAGAGATGGGGACAGCTCAGATTTTGTCCGCCTTTCTGAACTTCCTTTCTCCCGTTGCTCGGGCTTGGCCTTTTTGGATAAGTCCCTTTTGAGTACCCCTTCTTTCCACGCTCTTTGCGAATCGCCCAGACCTTTTGGGTGAAGAGCTTTTCCATGCCTACAAAGGTCCGAGCTTTGCAAAAAAGGGTCTTGCAACCAGAGGGATAAGAAAAACAAATGAATTCCCCCCCTTGCCGAAGGGTGCTGATTCGGACCTCTACCCCCCCTTGCCGGGCGGTTCTTTCGCCGCGAGGTGATGGGCCTCAGCGGCGCCGCCTCCTTTCTGGTGGAAGAAACCGGAAACAGCGCCAGCGCTGTGCCGGGAGACCCAAGGAGCGAATCAGAACCGATTGCATGGCCCCCCCCCATGGCCCCCCCCCCCCATGGCTTCGGTGTTGATTTCCCATTTTCACGGTGGTTGTTGGGAAACATTGGACACTTTTTGTGCTTATTGTGGTTTAGTGGTTTTGGATTTCAACTTAACTGCTAGAGTTTGAGAGTTTTTGCTCCCCTTCCAACGTCAACCAAGGATTGGGGTTTGTTTGGGGTGGCAATCAAAAGACCTGGGTGAAGTATAACGACCTCACACGACCTGGTTTATGTGGAGAATATCCCTCCAACCACCATAGAAAGATGGTACCCAGCTGTTCGGCCCTTTGAACCAAAGATGCCAAAATTTGTGTATCCCCGGCTCTTGAGGCCTTGGATTCCAAATGCCAGCTTTGGGGGCACATGGTCCAGGCGGCGTTTGGTGAAACCCACGAATTCAATTCCAGTGTGGAAAGAAGGGGAACCCACTTAGAGGAAAAACCAGGCACCAGCCCTAACGGCCCGCGCCCGTGCCAACAGCTCAGTCGGAATCAAGACCTGGTGCGAAAGGGGTGCATGCATAGGTGTTTTTGGTTAGTTTGGTCGAAAAATCGATGGGTTTCCCTGGTTTACCTGGTGGTTTGATCATCTACCAGGGAAACCCATCTATTGGCCCTAGAAGGATGCATGGTGTCTGTTCCGGAGCGGGCGTCGGTTTAATGTCAAGCACTAAACAGGGGCCATAGGTTTTTGTTTTTTTCCATAGCCGCTGGAGGTTTGAAGGTTTGAAGCAAAATCAGGCGTCAAGGCTGTGTCACATCCTGGCTCCTAGCTTGGGGCTTCAGAAGGGGCCGCCTGCAGGCGGCGGTTTGACGAGTTCGGTGAAGCAACCGGGTTCCTTGGCTTCTGTTCAACCCGGAGACCTAAAATACGCCCGATCAGCTCGTCCATGCGCTTGCGAGGGGACAAAACACGAAGCGAGCTTCCTGTGATCTTGGGGAAAGTTCGGGGGCTCCTTTGATTGAGTGCTCGTCTGGTGTGCTCCGTGTCCTAATAGCCGGAGAAAGGCTCAACCCATCTTCTGGTAGAATGCGACGAGGAGACGAGTTCCATGGCAAGGAAGATCACTTCGGACGCCCAAAAGAAGGCGGCCTGCTCCCAGGAAGATGTGAGCGTGTCCGGAAATGGCTTGACCCCGTTCGACGGGTAAAGAGAAGTCGGGCAAGAAGCCGCGACCCATGTCATCCCCAAAACAACCATATAAACTATCATCAATGGTGTCGCTGCTCATATGGATGTTTCCCAACATGGGGTCCGTAAAATGGCTCCACTCAGCCAAATTGCTCGAGTTTGCGGCCTCCTTGGGTTTTTGGCACTCCGCGCGTCGATCAAAAAGACACCTCTGTTGGAGGGACACCTCTGTTTGCTCGGTTTTGGTACCATGCTTTCCAATTCCGTGAGACGACCTACCCAGTTTCCTTCGGTTCCCAACACAACCTTGGTTACCTGATTGAACCAACTGCAAGTAAGATTGTCCATTGCTCCTTGATGGGTTTGTGTCAAACTCGGGGACGGTGTCTCTTTGGTTTCCAAAAAGGGTACCCCGAAAGAACGACAAGCCCCTGCTTAAAGGGGCGATTGGGTACTTAGTAAGTGGTTAGTAGGCCTGGTTATAACCCACAAAAAAGCCATGGTTATAAGTCTCCTAAGTGGGCTACAACCAGGTGTACTAACCACTTACTAAATATAAAAATCCGGGGTCAACACTGCGCCCGAAAGAATGACCAGCCCCAGGTCCGGGCCGCAACTCTGGGCGTATCGGAAAGAGGTGGGCGCCGCGCTCGAGGCGCGCGGTTTGCTTTCGAGCGGTTTGTGCCCCGTAGAATCGGCAAGCTCAGCGATTCGCGGAGCCGGGGGGGGGGGGGGGAAACATGTGCCACACTTCTTTGTTTCTTGCAGCCCCCCCAACACCAAGCTCAGCTACTGGTTCCATTCTACTCTCTATTCAATAGACTTACAAAGGGCTTGTCGCACTGTCCGGAACAGTCCAACACCCCCCCGCCCCCCCGGCAAAAAGTACCGCTGCATCGAACAGAGGCCATTCGCAAGAGCAGGATGTTCCAAGTGAAGGGTGGTTTGTAGAAGTGACCTTTCAGAGGATCCATGTGGGTCAGACCTCACCCACCTCTGCTTTTCCGGAAAGAATGGGATTGTGTTTTTTGGGGGGTACCCTTTTTCGGGTTGGTTTGGGAAGCCAAAGCGAACCCACCCATTTGTGGGGTCTATGTTGACACATACCCATGTGTGTCTCTTTTTGGGAACCCCTTTCGGTTGGAATTTCGGGGTCCAAATCCACTCTTACGAGATGAACTCCAGGCGTCGAACTTCTTACAGTCGGACCCTCCAAAAGATGTGGTTTCCCCATTTGGTTTCTCTTTAAAAGTGTTCCCCCCCGTGCAGCAACACACCCAACTAGTGACTAGCGCATTTAAAAGCATGAGGTGAATGTTGGATTCCAGTTGCCTCTTCATCTTAAAAAACGTTCCGGCGAATGACAACATTTGTTTTGCGAAAGCGCTTGCTCCGTGAGCAGTGGTGATCGAAGCTTCTTCCAAATCTGCCCCCTGACATCCAATCCGTCTGTCAGGTGGACCTGAGTGACTCGGATGCGCGGCTTACGGCGCCTGTGCCGTGCCCGGAGGTGGGGCAACCAGGTTATAGGAGGCAAGGTTAGGGGCGGGAACGTCTAATGGTTGGTAGACATCAATCCCCATGCAAATGATGTCCCAAGGGTCCCCAAGTAAAAGTCAGACTTACATGTAAGAACATGTTAAAACAATTGGTGATGGCCCTGAGCGACATTTTTTCCAGAACCGCATGTTCGAATCTTTTCGCAAAAAGCGGGAACCCGGAAAGCTTCTGGCTCGTCAGATTGCAGCCTGTAAAGGGAACCCGATGTCACCTTGCTCAAATTGAAACACCCCCCCCCCTCGGGGGTGGCGTTTTATTTGACCCTGTGTCTTATGAGTGGAGCCACTGACTGCTTTGGCTTGCTCGAAAGAGAGCCTGAAAATCTGGGTGTCCCTTTCAACCAGCCCCAAAAACTTACGAGCCGTTCTCCTCCGCCCGGCTTTCGTCGTCGCGAGAGAGTCCTCTCGCGCGAGCGCGAGGCCTGCCCGGCGGCCGGGAGCTGCAACTTGGCCCAGGGCCGCTGCGAGTGCGCCGACGCCTCGGATCGGATCGGATCGCTCGGCAGGGAAGGAATCGTTGGCCGGAGAGGCGAGCGAAAGCCGGGGGTGAAAATGGATCCTGGTACTTGGAGTTCCAATTCTTGTAGGGTGTTGATCTTCTAATTCTTGTTGTAGGTGTTGATCTTCCAATTCTTGTAGGGTGTTGATCTTCTAATTCTTGTTGTAGGTGTTGATCTTCCAATTCTTGTTGTAGGTGTTGATATTCTTGTTGTAGGTGTTGATCTTCTTTCAGGCGTGAATCTCATTTCAGGTTTGGAGATTATGGCAAGATGTGCAGAAGCCGGATCGATGGCCCTGAATTCTCGGGTGGATGGTTGGTATGTGATTTTTGTAAAATGTTGGGCGAAAATTGAAGTGTCTCGAGTCGGAATCCCCTAAAAAGGACACCGGCTCCAGTTGGCTTTTCCTTCAAAACCAAAAGGAGGCTTCCAAAAGACGGAGATGTAGCCCTTTAGGCGACTCCGTGGCACTTGGGTTCCATGTGACAACTGTGGCGCGTCCAAATGGTTCCCCAGGACCTGGGCTCTGTGGTTTGCAGCTTGTAGGACACACCGATGCCGATCACAATCAAAAACTAGCGGTACTGTGAAGGTGAGGACATTGGTCTAAAAAGGCCGGCGAGTATGTGGTCTCACAAAGAAGTCCAGGGCATGAGAAATGAACATCTGTCCCTGTGCATGCAAGCCTCTTGCTTTCTTCAGCGTGATTGCGTGGGATTGTGTGGAGCGTAGGGAGGCTTTCCCCCCCCCCCTGACGCTCGAAGTGCACCCATGTACAAGAAGGGGCACGTGTTGGAAGATCTTGGAAGGGAGCCAGTGCCGCAAACTTTCCACTAACCACCAGAAACACGGGGAACGCAGGGGTATTTTATAATCTGAGAGTTGGGAGGCTATGCCACAGAAACATGCAGAAGCGTTTCCACCCAAACCTTCCCAAAGGTGTTTGGATTCCTCTCACCTCCGATGGTTCCCTTTGTCCTAGTTCTTTTTGAGGGTGGCTTCCGTTGCTTGACAGCCCCCAACTGTCCCAGTGTTCTCATGCTGCCCAAAAAAGCCCAACAGTCATGCGAGAAAGCCTGGCAATTTTGACTCATGTGCCACCACGTTTGCACCAAACAGCCGCAAAATGTGTCTAGGTCCCCAGTAATGCCCTTTTACTCTTGGGGGGCAGGGTTCAGACTACAAAGCAAAAGTTGGTACCCTTATTCTAGCCTCACTACTGGAGGACCTAGTCTACGAAGGAAGCGGCATGGCTTTGATCTCAGGCGTCCTCCTCCGGGGCGATGTTGCCATGTGAAGAGGTCTTTACGGCAGAGGCGCGATCTTTGGTTTAGGGAAAGAAGCAAAACCCATCGGGGGGAGCGAGGGAGGGGGACTTGGGTGAGAGCAGATGGCACGATTCCCTCAGTTTGGTTTGGTCCTGCCATTTATATATATATATATACATATACATATACACATATATATGTATATACTATTGTGAACGGCGTTGTGCCATCTACTTTCACCCTGGTATATCTGAGAGCGGGGGGCTTCCCTACTTGGGACAGACCCAGATTTGTCCCTTTTTGTCCAGTGTGGGTTTGGCTCGCAACTGGATGTGGACCCTCAGCAAGAGTGGTGTTCCCTTTAGCTTCGTTTTGGAATCACCCCAACTCTTAGAGGACCCTTTCTCAAAAAGTATGCCCAGGCCCGGAACATGTCGGTCATGCTCTGGTGTCCAAAATGGGCTGAAAAGTCAGAAAATTAAACAATATAAACATCTGTGAAGTGTGACGTTATAGACGTTCACAGAAAGGCCAGATGTTTATTGATGCTCTGGTGTCCCTCAGAAAAAGCGCAGTGGTTCATTCCCATCCCCGTGACTCATGTGAAGGGCATCCATCCTTTTGGCTCACAGAAATGGACAATTTCAATTCTGATGCCGGCGCAAAGATACTTCCTTTGGAGCCTTGATGCAGGCTCATTCGCCCAGGGTTGCTCCAAACCTATAAACTTGGAGCGGGTGTCAGTCGCAAATGTGTGCTTGCCCTTCCAAGTTGCCGTGAAAAGTATCTAACCTATGAGGCAAGACCTGGCCGCATGGTCTCTTTGGCTGTTCAGAGGCAGGTACTCCGCAGGTTGCCTCGGTTTTTGAGGCCTCGGGACTCGGGATCGCTTGAGGCGAAGCCAAGAAGCCGTGGAGCGTTTTCGGGAGGCCATGGGTCAAAACCCAAAATTTTCGCACCCCCAGTGAACATCAACCAATCCAACCACTAAAACAGGTTCCAAAATGTGTGCACCGAAAACCCCAAAATGGGATCCCAAAACGGTTTTGAACCATGGCCATGAAAAAAAAGGTCATGCTTCGCAGAAGCATGAGGGGGACAACCCAATTCAAACCCAATCCTTCTCATGTCGCTTTGGGGAAACAAGCAAGTGATTGAGTTTGGGGCTCAACTGGGGATACGCCATGATGATACACCTGCATGTTTGGGAGTCACGGTTGTCATAAAGCTTCTACTCACGTGGCCGACCACGTGCAGCCATGACCACGTGCACAAGTTGGGTCAAGATGCGCAGCAAGCCGACACGGCAAGTGTTTGTCTCTCTCTCTCTCTCTTTCTTTTGTTTTTCTTTCGTTCTTTCATCCTTCCTTTCCTTTCTTTTCCTTTCTTTCCTTGCTTTCTGCCCTTTCTGCATCGTCTTTTTCTTCTGTTTGTTCGTTATTTTCATTTATTTCTGTCTCTCATGTCTGAACTGTTTGTTCTTTCTTTTCTTTCTTGTCTTTAACTATTCCCGTCCTGGTTTCTTCGTGTGTTTCTTTCTGTCTGTCTGTCTTTCTTTTGCTCTTTCGCTCTTTCAATGTTTGTTTCTTTCCCTCTTTCCCTCTCTCTCGCCCTCTCCCTCTCTAGCTTGCCCAAGCACAGCGCCTTCCTGAAAGATCAACTTCCTACAAACCCCCCCTGGGTCTCACGTCACGAAACCGCCAGGCGCCCTTCGCGCCTCACACGCGCAATGTCACGGTCAAGGAGCGGTCTGCCCGATGGGGACTTCTCAGCCAGCGCCGGATTCCGAGCTTCAATGTGCTGAAATGATATGTACTATATATATATATATACATGTGTACATATATATATATATATATATATATTCATGTGTTTTTGTCGGGGGGGAAACGATTTCACTACTGGAAGTATGTTCTCATATTTTTCCAGGGGAAGAAAAAACACATGGAAGCTAAAGAAATGATCCAATCCAAGGGGAGAAGCCGGCGGGTTTTATTGGCATTTGGTTTGCACCAGGTGTGATCAACCCTTTGATTCCCATTTAGGGGCGAAGTCTTTCTGGCCGCTGGATTCGGTCGAATTCGGAGCAACCCCGTCAGCGCATTGCTGGCTTTGGGAACGCTTCGAGTGGTAGATATCTTGTGTTTTGGAGAGTACCCTTCTAGGGATGTTTGCAAGGAAGCAAAACGGAGAACGTGCATTTGGGGGGCAGCTTGAAAGACCAAACACACACACACACACACCTCGCGCGCCCATGTTTAGTGTAGCCTTGATGGGGATGAATTACCTTCAAAACATGGCCCATGTGTATTTGCTCCTCTCATGTTGCCACAGATTGGCCAAAGTGCGGAGGAACCGAAGTAGCGGGAAGCCAGACGCGGAAGATCTTTAGGAGGGTCCTCCCCAAGGACGCGGTGACAACCGGTCACCTGGATTGGGTTTTGGAGTGCCTTGGGGTCGCTTAAAGGGGAGCCGACTTGAGACCAACAGCTTGGGCTAAATTCAGAGACTGGCGAGACCTGCTGAAGGTAGGCGAAGAGTTGACGAGTGAGGTGAGTTCTATGGCCTTTTCTCCGGACCCCAATTCCAGAGGTTTCCTTCCAGCCCGCTGCAACTTCGCGATGCAAAAGCCTGAGTGTGCAACGAGACTGGGACCCACATCCCCAGTTCAGCAACACAACGTAGGCACGACCTCCGCTTTTCCGCACGCTGGCCAGGAGGTGCCTGGCACGGTCGGTGATGTACAGGACCCGCTCCTTGCGTGAAGAAGTGGAGGTGGCGCCTTTTGGATGGGAGGCCAGCCATGTTTTCGGATATCTTCAACTCTTTGCATGGTTGTTGTTGGGAAACATTTTAAATTTTTACTTATTGTGGTTTAGTGGGAAATCCCCACTTAACTGCTAGAATTTATGTTTTTGCCAATGTTCGTTTGTTGTCTGTGTTGTTCTTGTATCGTCCGGCTTCTTGTTCAGGAAGTTTCAAGGAACCATTCTGCTCACATAGCAGGGGCAATTTGACCCCAGGGATTCCATGACTCATTTGTGTGTTTCCCCCGTCAGTTGGCCGTTGGTCATGTCTCAAAACGGCGAACTCCGATGGATGGTTTCCGTCAGTCGGGATGGTTTCGCTGTGCGTACGCTGCTTAAAGGCTGTCGAAATCCCGCACCTACTAGTGAATGCATCAAGGAAGGCGTACCTCAGAAACGAAGGGACCGTTTCCAACACATTTCTCGTTGTGAGATACACACACCACCCGGACAAGTTATGGCGAGCTCGCATGGGGTAAAATGAGTTCACACATGATGAACCCCTCAATTCAGGTCAGTGAAGTAAAGTCACTGGAGTAGATGCCCCATGTTTGAGGGGGGCGTTTTTTCCAGTTGGACGGCAGACTGGCTTTCGGGGAGGACCTGCAAGGCACAACGACGGTGGTAGCAGGGCTCCTGATTGTGGCGGCCTCAGTTACGCTTCGCCATGAAGATGGGTCAAATCCAGTCCATGGTCCATGTGGAAGGGATATGGCCATAGGTTCTAGAATGGGTGGTGCGCCGAAAACCCCAAAATGGGATCCCATTGGTTTTGAACCATGGCAATATTAGGGCTTGGTTACCATTCTAGTGACAGGCAACAAATTGTCCGACTTTTGGCCAATCCACCCAATCGGTCACAAAACTGGCGTATGTTTTTTGCTGGGGGGGATCGCAAACGGGCAGGACATGGATTCGACCATTTAGCCCCTTCCCCTACAGTCTCTCAATGATTCAAGGACTGTCACTGTGCAGCCAGCACTACTCCAGGGGTCAATTCCCCCTTCTGTTCCATCATCGTTCCTTTCAAATGCCGTTTTCCCTGGGTTTCTGGAGTTTTTCTGGAAAGAAGGATCCCTGGAAAGAATGGAACTACAGCAGTCCACTTTTTTCCGGCCCTTCCCCACTTCACGAGCGAACACATGTCCAAGCACCGGCCAAGTGTGGCGCTGAGGCGCTGCTGGCTGCCGCCGTTTATTCCTGCGTGGCCAAGATGAAGACACCCAGGAGTGGCACAAAAGGGGCACATACTGTGGATGGACGAAATTCATTTCGCACCACCTAAACAACCCCGGGGTGATGCTTCCCCTGCAAATACAATACCAAATGGTTTCCCATGGTTTCAAAGTGGTGCAGGAGTTCGTCCATCCGCAGTATCTCGAAGAACCAATCCCGAAAAAGCCCCCCCCCCCCCCCGTTTACGCAGGGCGGTTTAATAGGATACATAGTTGGCTAAATGAAAGAACCACCTTTAGCTGTTTGAAAGGGCGTTCTACATGGTGATTTCTGAGGTGTAGTCCAAACAATAGCATGAGCAATGTTTAAACAAGGGCTTGAACCGCTTAAGCCTGGTCATTCAACTCCCTTTGTATGGGCGGACATTCTCGCCCCTTTAATTCTGTGGGGAGTTTCAGACATCCATTGTACGAGGTCAGGGGAACAGCCATGAACGGGGCCAAAAGTTTTGATCGGAAGGTTCGATCGCGGCAGGATGTGTTTCATGGTTTGGGTAGACCCCTCTAGTACAAGGTTCTATTTGTGGTTCACCTGACGCTGCCAGATTTCGGGGAAGTACTCGAAGTCGAAACGGCCCATTTGGGGCAGTTTCCATTTGGACAGTCCGGTGTTGGCTTCGTTTGGTTTCCCATGAGTCATTTGTTTATTGTCCCGGTCGCATCTTTGGAGCAACCTTGTTCCGCAGGGACCTCTTGAGAGAGGCTTGGTGACACCCACACGTCGGCAAGCAGATTCTAAGGCGATTTTTCTTCCCAGTTTCCCTTTGGACCGTCGCCGCCGGCCGCCCGAGTTGTCAGCACCTCGGCTCCGAAAAATTGTCACGTTTGCGAGCCCATCGAGCCGGCCTTCATCGATCTGATCGGATCGGATCCGCATGGCGCAGCTGAAGAAGCTGCACGGGGATATCGAGAAAGGCCTGAAGAAGGCGCCCGGGATGCGATCATCGCATGCGCAAGCGGACGCGGAAGCGGAAGCGGGAGCGGGGACGTCGGGGGAAGCGGAAGCGTTGCTGGGAGGCTTCTTTTTTTTTTTTGGGGGGGGGGGGGGCTCGGGGCTTTTTTTGAGTTGCGGGAAGGTTCGAAGTGGAGGGAGGTGCTGGGTCTTCTTTTTTGGGAGCCGAAAAGGAATCAAACATGTTCAAAGTACTCAAGGGGGTGGGGTGGTTGATGTCCCCAAAAGGGGCACCCTCGGGTTTAAGTCAACGGGTAAGGAAATAGGACCCGGTTCATGTCCACGTGCAAAAGGATGCCTTTCACTAGATGTGTTGTTTTGATCAGGGCTCCTTAAAAGATACATGTTGCCCATTTGAACCATGTTTTTTTCCACCAAAATAAAGGGAAACCACCATTTACAAGGCAATGTCCAGGTGTAGTAAGGATCCCTGTTGATAGGTAAAAGCTCTTTCATTATGAACCATACGTGTTGATTGCGTCCCCTTGGAAGAGGCAGGTTTTGATTTTGGCTCGCTTGGGTACGGGATACGTTTTGCACAGCCATCGTTGTCACGGGAGATTTCAGGCGTTGTATATTCCGACGCACAGTTGCTCATGACCTCACAAAGGAATCTGTTGGGTCTGTATGTCAGAGGGGGACAAACAGAATGGTGATGTCCCTTTTAGTTTTCTTTTAAGCCAAAG